CATTCATCTTGTCAAGACGTTCAATTTGACTATAAGTTTATTATTATCAGAAATTGGATGGTCCCAAATTTAATCTTCTAAGTTTCCAAATCAATTACTCATATAGATTAGTGCTTGATCAAGATAATTTTTGATGAAAACCAATATAAATTGAGGTTACAATCAAAATGATCTCTCTCAAACTAGTTGAAATTATCAATTTAGTCCCTTAATTACTTAAACGTAAAGTTAATCACAAATTATGAGAAAAATGAGATTCATATAAATCAAAATATATAATTACTATCATTTATTTTGAAGTTCGACATGAAATTCACTAATTCTGGAGCAAAGCATTAAGAAATTACCCAATCATGTGTTCCTCTGGCCTCTCTCAGCCCATATGTTATCCCTGAGTAAATGCCAGCAGTCAGTCCTGCAATTCAATACCAGCTATCAATCCCTGAACATAAGCATCTTTTGCTCAAAATAAAAAAAAATTAAGGCTTCATTTGAGATAATTTTCTTACTGCTTTTTAAAGCAGCTTTTCATTAAAAAATATATTGAATTGGAAATTTTTTACTAAAAAATTATTTTAAAAAGTCATAAAAAAATTATCCCAAATAAAAGCTCAAGTAGTTCATATTTACAACAGATTATAGGATTAGTTCAACGTACGTAATTACTGATAAATTTGATGATTTTTAAATGTATTCTAATATAAATTATATTAAAAAGTTATGAGAATTTTGAGTACATACCTTTTAGACTTGTTCATGGTCATTTGGGATGGGGTGGTAACCATTGTGGGTGTGGGAAGGGAGTTTCGCTGAACCAACTGGTATGAACTTGAGTATCACAGCTATGATTAAGCTCACTGATCCAATTAGAACGCTGAGAAGCCATAATTGCCAGCTTAATGGAACTGTGTTAGCAAAAGCACCAAGGAACTCAACGATGATTACTTGAAAGACCAGCGTCGAGATTAGGACTACGGAAAAGATCCAGCTGGTAAAAAATCCTCGGAAGACATTGATTTTCTCCATCTCTCTGCTGTTTATTTCGTTGAATAGCTGATGGGTAGAGGAGACCAAGAGATGAAAATTGATGAATAAATGAATGAAGACATAGCTTGCAATAACAAAATCTTAGGGTTCGTTTGGGACATCTTTCTTATTGCTTTTTAAAGTAACTTTTTCGTACAAAAATTTTAATTTTTATTCTATAAAGCTGCTTTAAGAAGAAGCAAGAAAGCCGTCCCATACGAAGCCTTAATTAAAAGTCTAGAAATGAAAACAGAACCGGTGATTATAAAATCTAAATTTAAAAATCAAGGAGCATAAACATATCCTGATTAAGGAATGCCATTCCTGGCTGGAAGGAGTATCTGACACTACTGCGATTAACTACTCTAGCAAATATTCAGCTATGTAATTGCGACCGCTGACTGTTCTTTTTTGGGTTCTTTTTAATACTTAATTAGGGGTTTCACACTTGCAAATAAAATATCTATAGATTTGAACAAAGTCATAGTTGAATTTGTTAGTCCTATACTTCTGAGAGTCAACTCTTTGAATAAGTGGGAGAATTCTATATGAGGCTTGTTCTATTGATTTTTTTCCTTCTATTTTATACCATTTATAAATCTTGCTATTAGAAATGACTTTTTTTTAGGGGTTGGACTAAGAGGAAGACCTACAAAGACTTGGTTAGAAAAGTATTACAAAATATTTTTTTTATTAGATTTAAATGAAAATTTAACTTTTAAAAGGAGAAAAAGGACTTTTTTTTCCTAATTTTCATCAGATGTAATAAATAGTTGTTAAATTAAGAGTTTTGGCCTTCTATGTTTGGTGAGGTTTTGTAAAATTTTTTGGTATACCATAGCGCATCTGTTTTAGAATACTTAAACCATGTCTTGCATCAATCTATTAAATTTATAATATGTGATAGGGTATATCCTTTACATGCTTCTGTAACTCTGGGCTATCGATATCACAATATGCAGGCTACTACAAAATTACCTTAGGATATCTCACAATGAATGAAAAGATTATTGTGTAAAGCAAAACTAGTACACCTTTCAGCACAGTAAAAATTCAATCAATTAGTGTTTTCACTATTAGGGAGGCAATGATGATCACGAGAAAAGAAAAAAATAATATGCATAGAGAACAACAGATAAAAAATACAAGTGAGTTTACATAGTATGACAAGATCCCACTTCATCCACGAAAGCGTGAAGAGAAAAGTATCCACTACTCTAGAGATATACTAATATTTGTGAACTTGAGATCATTTTATTTCTACCTCGCTAGTATTCTTTCCCCCTCTCTCTATGTTTGATTTTATCCAAAAAATTGAGCATAAGTCCTCAACCAAATACAATCACCAAGTATAACGAAAAGCTTATGGCCTCTTATACCAGACCACCTTGGAGGTCACCAACACTTATGAGAATCATCAATTTCCTCTTCACTTGGGAAGGCTTCTAGTTTCAACTATTACTATTCGAACATTTACTGTTCAATGCCAATCACCCAATATGGAAATCTCATTGTATGACAAAGGTCAAGGTAACTATCATGTGGGCTCTAAAAATTCACACTCCGGACTCTCCGTGGTCCTTTCCTTTTGTTTGTTAGTGAGGAGAGTTTTAACGAGTTTAGGTTCCGAGGTAATTTTTCATTAGACATTGAGTTTTTAGATAAGACACTACTCAAAAATTTCGCTCTAATTTTACGAGAACTTATATGATAAGAATTCATGTTTCCTGTAGGCGCAAGCCCCTATAGTAAATTTCCCCTCTCAATAACGAGAGAAAACTTTCGATTAAGACTAGTCGTTAGAATAGAAACTTAGTACCCAACATATAATAGTCGTAGAATTTGATATTGAAAATTAAAATTTAATTATAGTGCACTTAAAGAAGATGGTAGGAGGAATGATGATGAACCCGAGTAAGATCCCATATTTCTGTAGTCTCAGGTCATTATGTTCCTTAGTTTACTTAGTCAGAGGAGGTAGTCGACCTAGCCTGATCGAAGGCTCATTGTCGGCTCCATGTGTTGTTTCGTACAACAGTAAATTGTAGATTTTGGGTGAATGTTTGCTTAAAAGGACAAATATGAGTCCACCTTAGCTAACAAAGAGTTTTGTGCCATAGCGATTATACCGAATTGATTCATTACTAAAGTGTTTAGAGTCGTTGGGGAGCATACGGGCTCTGGCCACGACCGTAATTTAGTGGTGCAACTTGGCGGTAAAACCAGCTGATCAGAGGGCCCCAATCATAACCGTTTACCTATAATTTTATTTGGTGGCGAAAACCAGTGGTTAAATGACACATGTCACGTCCTTACTGGCAAGAGATGATTTTAGAATGAATCATAGTGATATTCATGACTAGAAATTCGCTCTTTGTTGTAAAACCCGAAATCGACAATTTTAGGCGTCACACGCATTTCGATATGCTGCGATGAGATTTAAGTGAAATTTCAAAGTTAGCATATTTTGACGAAATAAATTTTATAAAATTCTACGCAAAATTGCGAACAAATTGATATAAAGAACATATATTGAATTTCACTTAATTCTAAAAAATTATTTTAAAAAGTCATAAAAAAATTATCCCAAATAAAAGCTCAAGTAGTTCATATTTACAACAGATTATAGGATTAGTTCAACGTACGTAATTACTGATAAATTTGATGATTTTTAAATGTATTCTAATATAAATTATATTATAAAGTTATGAGAATTTTGAGTACATACCTTTTAGACTTGTTCATGGTCATTTGGGATGGGGTGGTAACCATTGTGGCTGTGGGAAGGGAGTTTCGCTGAACCAACTGGTATGAACTTGAGTATCACAGCTATGATTAAGCTCACTGATCCAATAAGAACGCTGAGAAGCCATAATTGCCAGCTTAATGGAACTGTGTTAGCAAAAGCACCAAGGAATTCAACGATGATTACTTGAAAGACCAGCGTCGAGATTAGGACTACGGAAAATATCCAGCTGGTAAAAAATCCTCGGAAGACATTGATTTTCTCCATCTCTCTGCTGTTTATTTCGTTGAATAGCTGATGGGTAGAGGAGACCAAGAGATGAAAATTGATGAATAAATGAATGAAGACATTAAATGAATGAAGACATAGCTTGCAATAACAAAATCTTAGGGTTCGTTTGGGACATCTTTTTTATTGCTTTTTAAAGTAACTTTTTAGTTCAAAATTTTTAATTTTTATACTACAAAGCTGCTTTAAAAAGCATCAAGAAAACCATCCCATACGAAGCCTTAATTAAAAGTCTAGGAATGAAAACAGAACTGGTGATTATAAAATCTAAATTTACAAATCAAGGAGCATAAACATATCCTGATTAATGAATACCATTCCACATACTATCTATAATGTGGAATAGGCTCTCTCCCTTTGGCTGGAAGGAGTATCTGACACTACTGCGATTATGGTTAAGCATTCGTTGTTAATTTAAGTCATGTTTACTCCACTCCTTTGAAGGAGGGTGAAACTTGAATATTTGACTTGCGCAACATTCTTAGACCTTAAGATTATGAGGTCAATGTAGTGGTACGAGCACATGTATATGTTTAGTTTTAAAATAGGATTTAATATCAGCGAGCTTTTAATCCCCGTGTAGCATTCTCAGACGTCTGTGTTGCAGATTTAGCACGTCTGTCGGAGCACATGTGAGTCTATCGCACTTAAGTCTGGAGAATGATATTTTAATGTGCGAGGGAGATTTTAAAATATTTAAATATATTATTTGGCGCAAGTGATTATTGTTGGAAAGTGTGCAAGATTTTGTTTGATATTCGAGAAAGCCCGCTTGTACGAGAGTTGTGAATGCGATGGCGTGAATACGAGTTAAATTTTAGCTGTTAGAGATATCATTTAATTCATTTTGACCCCTTTAAGTTATCACTTAGCACAGCTCATATAGGATGTTTTCTCAATAGGCACTAGGAGATCATGCTCTTGTTGTAAGTAAACTACATCGTTCTCAATGAATCTCTCGTTGTCATTTGCAGGCAAGCTATTTGTCTGGTATGATAACTAGGCACTACGAATTCTTTGCTTTTATTTATAAGTGAATTGTAGTGTACTACACACCCCTTGTTATTTCTCATAGATAGACTACTATGCATTGCAAACTTCATTAATATCGTCCGTAGAAAAGTAATGATCATTCAAAGCCACCAGCTATTGCATGTAGGCAGACTTTCGTATATTCCAAGCTTGATTAATATTGCCTGTAAAAAAGTAGTGATCATTTGAAGTCAATGGTTATTGCCTGTGGGTAAGTTATATTCATCATAAGTTTACTAGTTTAATTCATAGGCAGATTGTCTGGATTGAGAGAGGTAGAGATGTGTATGATGGCTGTAAGGAGGTCTGTTCCTGCTGTGTGGAAGGGAATGTAGGTGTTGGTGGATTAGTAGAAAGTGTCAGCTATGATTGGGAAGAGGAATGGGTAGAAGCAGGTGAAAGTGTGGGCAAATGGATTGGAGACGTGGTGGCTTGGGTTTCAGAGTTTAAAGGGTTTGCAGTGTTTGGAGAACGAAGTTTGAGAGTTTATAAGTTTTGCACAGTGTGTTGAGTTGGAGATTTTTGTCATGGTGTTTTAGAGGGCAGGTTCTTGTTCAAAGTTTGTGTCAGACTCTAGAGAGTTTTGTTTGAGAGTTTGGGGAATAGTATTTGAGAGTACAATGTTGAGTTGTACATATTGACTAGTGGAAACTGTTCTTACTTCTCTTTCTTTTTCTTTCTTTTTTTATTTAAACAAAATCCTTGCCTACTAAAATGGTTTTCTCCACATTAATTGATTAATCAATCAACTAAACATTTTATGTTAATCAACCAATTAAATTTAAATTTCATTACTCTTAGATTTTTAAATTGCTCATGAATTTTAATTGCTCTCGACTTTTTAAATTTCCTCCTGGATTTTAAATTAATCAACTAATTAAAATTAACTAGTTAGAATTTGATTTTAATTAATTAATTTTGATTAATTAATCCAAATTACTTAATTACTTTTAATTAACCGATTAATTTTGATTAATTAAATGATTTTAGTTAATTAAATTTATCAAACTAATTAATTTTGATTAACTAATTACTTTTCATTAAATAATTTTAATTAAAAAATAATCAATTGATTAATTAAAATCCAATTTGCTCTCTAATTGCTTAAATTAGACAATTTCATTAGTCTCTTGAGGAATGTCGGCAGCCTCCCAACGTCCTCTCCCCTAGCGGGGAGATCAGAACGGCACTTGCCGATAATTTCTTCCTGGCCAAACCTAAGATCAACGACGTGAGATCTTCAATTTCATCCTGGTCGAATCTAAGATTGACAACGCAAGGGCTTCACTTGAAATTCTTTCCGACCGGACTTAAAATCAATGACACGAGGTCTTAGATTTGCACATCTGTTTGCTTTGCTCTCACTTTTTTATTATTATTATATATTTATTTCTTCTTGTACATGAACACTTATATCCATTTCTTATACTCACGGTTTGCAATAATCAGCAATAACTAGCAATAGTTGAGAGTAAAGTTGTGGGAACAGGAGTCGGATGACACATAAAAGGTTTAATACAAACCTTAGATGCACCTTTGAAGGCAAGTCGGCCTAAATTTTTTATCCACCTTTGCCTCAAAGAAAAAAAGTGTCTTTTAATAACCTAGAAGTTTTAACACTAAATCTATCTAAACCCTAAATACACGTTTCACCACCATCCAAATAACCCTTCTACCACCACCAAAAGAGGAGACCAAGCAAATTGCTGTTTTGAACATAAAGATCCTATAGATCCTAAATCACCTATTCTTGATCACTCAAAAGGCCACTTCCACGTTGTCAACATCTACTTCTGTAACTAGTTGAAAAGCAAGAAGTACATTTCAACACGAAGCAACTATCTCATCATATAATACTTAGAAATATTGGTTAACAAAGTTATAGGGTTTAGGCAAATGGCATACGAGTTAGATAACATATTTGTTGAGCTTAGGTGAAGTTTTTAGGAAAGCATGAGAACACATAACAAATATGTGTTAGATTTTGACTTCGCAATGAAATTTCGTGAGGAACTGGGCTTCACATCTAAACGTCTATAACACATAAAACTGTCTGGATGGCCTTTTTCACAAGTTCATAATGTACATTTTAAAGTTAAATTTTGTGTCATATGCCTTTGCGCAGGGTAGAATATACTCTGACGCCACCCAATTTCTAGCAATTTTCTATGATCACAAGAAAACGAAATACTAATAATAGAGTTTGGATCAAATACAGCATATTATTTAATCTACTAAAGATGGATCGGAGATTATGGGAAGGGAGTAATTTCAAACCTTCGAACTTTACCATCAATGTGGATAGAATACATACCTGGCAAAACACGAATGTATTGAATATGAAAGTGTTTAGAATGACATCGGAATCAGAACCAGTTAATTTGAGTAGACTCTTCCCCTTAAACATGAGAACTCCAAGAACCACCAATTGATAAACACTCTGGCCAGCGATATTCCTCCACATAGCCTTAGTGATGAAATTTTCACCACGTCCAGTGGGTGGTCTCTTCATCATGTCATCATTTGGAGGTTCTGTGGCTAATGCCAAGGCACCAAGCGTATCCATAATCATGTTCACCCATAGTAGCTGCACAGCAGTGAGAGGAGCATTCCCTGAGAAGTTGAATAAGTGATCATTCTTATGTGCAAAATAATCCAGCAGAAAAGCTTCCAAAATACTGAATAAGATACCTGTTATGCATGCCGAGACAAAATTGATCATAAGAGCAACCACATTAACCGTCAACTGGAACTGCACAAACTTTTGTATGTTAATATATACAGCACGACCCCATTTAGCTACATTAATGATGGTAGTGAAGTTGTCGTCTAGGACAATAACATCAGCATTCTCTTTTGCAACCTGTGTAAGAAGATACATTCAGATAAACATTTTTTGTGAAAATATGGAAGTAATGCTGCAGTGGACAGAAATAATACTATGAATCAGTTGAATAGGACCATATAGCATTTTTTTTTCCTTTTTCTTCCATATTGATCATCCTAGTTCTGTATTACGAAACCTTCCACCCTAAGATACCTTGTATTAATAAGATTAAGTAACTCTAAGACGTCTTGCATCAACAAAATTAAGCAATCAATCTTTTTGCATGGTATATATTCTCTCTCTAAACTAGTTCCATTCCCCAAATCAGCATTTCCACCATACTTTTAATACCGATTTAATTTAGATTCGGCAAGATTTTGATAAAAACTAGGACTATCAGGCGGAAGATGCCAAATCATTTTTTGATATTTAGATATCATAACCAATGGCCATTACGAAAGATAGGTATCTTAGAAAATTCAAGACTGCTAAAGTAAAAATAATGGAAAAAAAGATCCGCATATTGCATTAAAACAGATGAAGGCAGACTCCTATCTATTAACTCGTTCTAATACTTGACAACTCAAAGCATCAATTTTTTTCCATGGCTTGTGGTTGGGCATCCCAAACAATCCTCACAACCCATGAAATTATTAGGTAAAAAACACTGAAAATAATATATCCAGTAAATAAAGTTGAATGTCAGAATTTAAAAAACATTAACGTGTGGAGGACAGACCTCTGTGCCTGCAATACCCATCGCAAGGCCTATGTCTGACTCATGTAACGCAGGAGCATCGTTAGTTCCATCCCCAGTGACTGCAACAACTTCCCCCATGCTTCTCAGATTGGTCACTAAAGTATGCTTGTCAAGAGGCAACGAACGGGCCATTACCTGTTAAACAAGTTCATGACAATACTTATTTAGCTCATTCGGAGAATGGAAATAACCAGAAGTATGAGACAAATACCTGGAGCTTTGGTATCAACTCCTTCATCTCCTCTGGGCTCTTGCTGCGAAATTCAGGTCCTTCTATTGCCAGACCATCATCTGTCAATATGCCGCACTCTTTGGCAATTGCTTTAGCTGTATTAATATTGTCTCCGGTCACCATACGTACTTTTATACCAGCAGTTACACAAGTTTGAACTGCTTCCCTGACTCCAGGTCGCACAGGATCTTTTATTCCAAAAACAGCTATCAGTGTATAACCATCAGTAGAAATTTCATCTCCTTCTGAAGCTTCACCCATGTCCTTGTAGGCCAAACATAGTGTTCTTAAAGCATCACAGGCAAAGAGATTAATGACATCCAAGATAGTTTTTGTTTCTTTTTCAGATAAAGGTAAGGGATTTCCATCACAATCAAGGATCTTATCACACATCTGCAAGATAATTTCAGATGCGCCTTTACAGAAAGCTCGAGTTCCTCCATCTGGTAGTGACACTAGAACAGACATCTTCTTCTTAACCGAATTAAAGGGTTCCACCTTTAATCTAGTGCAATCTCGATGATGGGTAGTATCCACAACACCTTCCAAATCTAATCCAAATTCCAACAAAGCAGTTTCTGTTGGAGTACCCAAAATGGTATTTTTTCCGTCTTTTCCTCTCACCACTTCTGAGCCACTATTTTGGAATATGCACTGCAGAAGATTGCAAAGTACTTTGTCAGACAATGTAGCCTTTAAATGCTCCGAGGTCTCCTTACTCCTGAATGATTTAGATGCATCACCAATCCATATCTTATCCACTACCATGTGATTAGTAGTCAAAGTTCCTGTCTTGTCAGTACAAATGCATCCAGCAGATCCCATTGTCTCACATGCTGATAAGTGCCTTACAAGTGCCTTATCATTCATCAGCTTCTTCATTGCAAATGCAAGACTCAATGTCACGGCCAAAGGTAATCCCTCCGGAACAGCAACAACAATTATGGTAACAGAAATCGCAAAGTAATTCAATATTAATAAGGCATCATCTGGGAACCATTTTAACAAGCCAACATGAATTGCCTTATCAACCAGAAACCTGGCTAGTAGAACAACAAAAGTTAATGTGGCAAACACCAAACCTATCTTTCCAATGATAGTGGCAACACCATTAAGCTTCACCTGCAACGGTGTTTCATTGTCTCCTCCCTGGCTCAAAGTTTCCATAAGTCTTCCCCATTCAGTCCTCATACCAACAGCAGTTACTAGCATTTTAGCTGACCCGTCTTGAACTTTAGTCCCAGCCAGCAGAAAAGGCTTTTCATGAGAAGCATAAACTGGATCAGTTTCTCCGGACAAGCTTGACTCATCAATTGATAGCGAGTAACCAGATATGTAAAGTCCATCTGCTGGAACCTGATCTCCTATTGACAGATGAACAACATCTCCAACAACCAAATCATAAATTGAAACCTTTTGCCTGTAGCCATCTCTAGTAACTTGCATAAAAATCTTTTTTTTCTCTTGGTCCAGGTCTCTGAACTGCAATGATTGTTTGTAATCACTGGCCGCAGTAACGGTAACTACTAAGAAGATGCTGAGAATGATCCCAAGTCCATCGTACATCCCTTTTGGCCACCCTTCGGTGGCAAGGCCCACTCCTACTGAAACTACAGCGCAAACCATCAGAATGATTAAGGTCAAATCTTGTAGCGCATCCCATACAAACATCCAGAAACTTCTAGCAGGCTTCTCTGGAAATTGATTGGCTCCAAAAATATTCTGTCTGATAGACAAATCACTAGACTTGATTCCATCTTCAAGTGAAACTGACAATTTTCTCGATATCCCGTTTAATCCTCCGTGAATTTTCAAGGTCTTTGAATTGTGTTCTCGTGCAATTGTGGCCAATTCATCAGGGTTAATGTAAAATCCAGCTTTTCTGGCCTCCTCAGGAAGATGATATTCAATATTATTTGCAGCTGCAAAGGGAGAATAAGTCAATTTTCTATAATTATAGTATCAGATCCATAACTACCAACACATCTCTATATTGAACTTTAACCGAGATCATACCACCAATAAATGTCAAAGCAGCTTTCTGCACATATAGAGCAACTCGAATCTTTTCCTGAAATAACAAAGGCCGGTAGTGTTAGAAAGTTGAGAAGACAACTTGAAAACAGATAATATCTTATATAATTCAAAATTTAAAAAACTTCAATCTTTAAATTTAGTTCACGTTCATATAAATTTAATTCACATAAAGGTTATAAATTTAATATAATAATTTATATTATATGGTTATATATAATTTACTCCTCTAGATTATAAACTAAATTCATATTATAAATTTGAATATATATATATCATTCATATTAGATCATCTATCTTTAATAAATAAATAAATAATAATTTTTTTATAGTGCATAAATAATAAATTAGATAAAAAAATTAAATATTATTAAAACAAAAAATTTATTTAGAACATAAAAAATTTATTTAAAAAATCTATATAAAAATATAGTATAAGCATTGTGAATTTGATAATTCAACTTAGATATTTAGTCTCACGTAACTTAAGAACTTTCTTTACTGGCGGACTACAATGGGGGCCTTGGAAGCATGAGCCTCGCCTCCACTGACCTAAACTATATTTATTTTAATATTAAAAAACTATATACTATATATATATTATATATATAGTATATATATATAATATATATATATTACTTCTATAAGTTAAGTATGTTTTAATTTTAAAACAGACAAGGTGTTAGTTCTGTGCGAAATCTAATTAGGTCGATCAAAATTGAATTGTACTGCTTTCAACGACCTCAATTCCACTCGGTCGAGCTCGTTGGGGGTTGTAGGGGGGTCCTCCCCCACACTAAAAGTTTTTTTCGTACAACTATGCAGCACTGCGACACTATTTTGTTTAACTGGAGGTAGACAAAGAGAGGAGCATCACGACACGGTCAAAACTCGCGCGCGGTGCCACTACGGGGCTGTTGGTATGGCGGGATTTGAGGCGGATGTTAAGGCCGGATTTGGCGAAATTCCAGCTCAACGGCCTAAATGCAACTCCAAAATCTCACGGCAAACGAAATCCTCCGTGGACGAAAATTCCGTCTGACTTCGCTCCTAAAATCTCCGGTTTCCGATACATCCTTTGGTTCGCGGATTGTACGGGATTTGGCCGAAGATCGCGCGAAAGGGAGAAAGTACCTTCAGCAGAAAGCAGAGCTCCGTTGTTGCTTCAGAATAAAAAGAATGATCGTAACTTCCGTCCAATAGGAATGGGGTAATGTGTGATGAAGGAGCAAAGCTCGACAGCGACGATGAGAACTCTTGAAAATTTTAGGTGCGAAGAGAACAACAGCCGAACGAATACAGGAGGAAAAGTAAAACCAAGACGACTTCTAATTGTTGAATAATTTAATTAATATAATTTAAAATATTAATAATTAAGTGAAATTAATTAAATAATATTTAAATAATTGATAAAATTATAGTTAAATACTGGTTATTTTCAAAATAATTAATAGGATTAATATGATCTAAAATTAAAAAATTATTATAAAATATTATAAATAATAATTAAAAATTAATTAGTATTAATAAAGTTTTGTTATATTTTATTTAAACTTTTCTTGTCGTGCTTTAATTATCCTAAAATGTATGTCAAACTTTTTAACCGCCTTAAATCCTAAAATGAAAGACCAAACAGTCACAAAGGATTTAACTGGATTTATCATGATGTTACTACAGTTTTCAGGATTTAACCCCTAGGATTTCGTAAATCCGGATTTGGAGGATTTACGAAATCCTACTTAAATGAAATCCTAAATTCTACCAAAACAGCCCCTACGACTCAAGCAGGAAATAAAGCTTGAAGCGCTACGGTGCTTCAAATCCGGCACAAGGACACTTTAGCCCTAGACTGCAGCACTGTTAGGCAGACTGTAGACAACCAGTTGAGGCATCATGGCACTACAAACTTGGTGTGTGCAATGCTACGAGATGGGCGGACAGCTTTCTTTCTTGTTTTTCATGAAGAGTTGCATCCCTTGGTAGTTTAAGTGAGTTTCTCTTTGCTTGATCATGTAAGAAAAAATGGTGTAAGAGTGAAAAGAGACAAAAAAGAATAAATAAAGAGAGATCTATACAATTTCTCTCAAATGTTCATAGTAATTTTTTGGTGTGAGTGGCTCCATGATTTTTTCCCTGTTCAAGAATTTTTCCACGTTAATTCCCGATGTCTTTTTGGTCACATTTCCCTCTTTTTGTGTTCATTGCATGATTTACCTTCCCCAACATAATGGGTGTGGTTTGCATTTTCATGGTTTAACCTTGAATTGGTGCTTTTGTATCCGGGGCTCTATCCGGTGGGCCACATATCAATTTGTGTTTCATTATCTATTATTTTTTGCTTAGATTATCATTAATAATATAAAATTTAATACCATAATTTCCTCGTCGGCCTATATTAGGTATTTTAAAAGAATAATCAAAATGAGAAAATTTAATGTAAACTTTTATTATATGGCATAATTTATATCTAACAACTTTGCTTCAAAAATACTGTGTTTAAAAAAATTTGAAATTTGCATCATAAAAAATTATATATATATATAAACCATTTAAAATGTATAATGTTATAATTTTTTAATAAAACTCTACAACTAAATATTTAAAATAAATGAGAAAATCATAAATTTATTTGTGATATAATAATAAAATATAATAATAATTTTTTTAATAATTTACAAAAAATATATTTGATATTTGATCAAAATAACTGTTTCACATAGAAAATTTTAAAAAAATACAACTCCAAAAAAATTAAGAGTATTTTGAAAATCATCAATTTGTGTTCCTGCTGATAAAAAAGTCCGTCTCCGCCCCTGACTTTCTCTCAGTATTTTGTATACATCTTTTTGGGTTTACAAGAATTAGGAACTTACGTGGAGTGATAGGGCTGCATAAAAATGCTTGGATGATCCTTCTTTGCCAAATAATTATTATAAGTTTATTGGCTATTAAAGATAAATATAAATTTAAAATAATTTGTTAAATTTATTATTTTACATTAAAATTAATAACAATTGAACTGGCCAGTTCAAAGACAAACAAAAAACCAGCGATTCAAATTGGTGTCAGTCCGATTTAATGCAAAGGAGCTAGTCTTTTAAGAAATATTCCCTTTTCTCTCTCAAATCTTTTTGCTATTGTAGACTAGGGGTGAAGTGAGCCAAGCCGACCGACTCAATAATGAGCTCGCGAGCCGAGCTTATTGAGCCGCGAGCTCGAGCTCAAGTTCAAACTTGATGAGGCTCGGCTCGCGAAGGCTTGAATGACTATTAGGAATTTTTAAATAATTATTATAAATTTGAATGTTTAAAATAATTAATGCCTGCAACCTACTAAATGCTAGCTTATATATATATATTAAAGTTATGTTTTCCAAGAATAAAAAGTTGAAGCATTAACTTTCTTTTTTTTTGGGAACTATTGTAATGAAAAAAAAAAAACAATAGCCACTTAATTAATTTAAGTTTTGGGAAACAACACAAGCTTCTTCCATAGCAATGTTGACAGCAAGTCTTCTTCTTCCTCTTACCCTTCCCGATGCGGACGTCTCCTTCTTCGTCTCGCTGGATTTTGCATTTTCACGGTAACATTAGATGAAAACGAGCTTGAATCGAGTAATCGAGTTAAGCTCAAGCTTGATATTATACAACGAGTTGAGTTTGAGTTCATTAAACAAGTTCAATTTGAGCTCGAGCTTTAGTTCGAGCTCATCGTGAGGTAAATGAGCTTAGCTCGATAGTGTCACTACTTGACTCGACTCGTTTACACCTCTACTGTAGACATGGGCAAATGCCCACCCTAAAATATATATATATATATATATATATTAAAATTTTGAGGAGATATTTTGTCACCCCTCAAAAAAAATTTTTTGCCCTAATTTTATCAATCCTAAGAGTCTTTATCCATCCCCCACAAAAAAAAAAAAATTGTCCACCCTTAAAAAAGAAGCTAGATCCACCCCTGACTATAGACCAAACTAGAAAGCCATTCACAGACGTTTAACAAACAAATGTTGTACTACAACAAATCCTTCTATTATCTAGACCAAATTCAACAAAAAATATGAAAATAATTAAGTATATTTTTGGCCAAATTTTGATATAGATTTAAATTAAAAACATGAAAATACTTTAAAATAAACATAATATATAAATAATTTAAATTATATAAATTTGAAATTATATCAAAGAATTTTGAGCATAACACAAATTTTGTTCCAATTTAGGCCAAATTTGGCAAAAGATATTTAATAATTTTATAAAAATCTTTTTTTTTTATTTATTAGCTTGATATAATCAATAAAACTAGAATGTCTCCTTCTAGGTTTGTTGCGTCCTAGAATAATCGCGGTGGTAGAGAAATATAAAGTTTAATGTCTTAGCTTTATACTAAGATCTAGCACACAAATAGATAAGAAAATAGGGATGTAGTATTCATAAAAGACACCAGAGTTTTTACGTGAAAACCCCTGAAAAAGGAGTTTTCACGGGGTCTGATCCAGTTTGAATGAATCCACTAGTGTTTGTAGTTGATTACAAATGAGGTCCTTCCTTGGGGGGAATGCCTTGGATTGATGTAGTAAATATATGTCATATATAATGCATTACATGGTGAGAATTGGAAGAATCAGTGCTGAAATGTTTGTTTGGTAGGCAGGACCATAATCAGCGAATGATATAGCCTGGAAGGACTATAATAAGCGGGCAATGGAGGTCAGAAAGACTGTAGTCGGGCAATGGTGGTCGGAAGGACCGTAGTCGTCGGGCGAAGGAGGTCGAAAAGACCATAGTCGAGCGATGATAGTCGGAAGGACTGTAGTCATCTGTCAACGATGGTCGGAAGAACCGGAGTCGGGGAACGACGGCGATTGGAAAAACAGTAGTCAGCGGGCGGCAGAGGCCTTAAAGATCATAGTTAGCGTATGACCCATTGAAGAGACCTTAGTTGACGGGCGACTAAGATCGGAAAAACCATAGTTGGTAGGTGACGTAGGTTGGAAAGACCATAGTTGACAATGATGGTCAAAAGGACCATGGTTGGAGGTTGATGTAGGTCGAAAAGGCCATAGTCGGGCGGCAGTGATCAGAAGGACCGTAGTCGGAGGGTGACAATGGTTAGAAAGACCGTTTTCTAGTGACGGATGTCGTAAGGACCATAGTCAACGATGTTGGTCAGAGAGGCCATAGTTAGCGACGATCGATGGCGGGTGGGAGTCCAACAAAGTCCATAGACAGTTGATGGTCGAGCGAAAGTTCGAAGAAAGTCCGACGAAGGTAGATTGCTGGGCATAAGTCTAGTGACAGTTGTGGCTGAGTGGAAGTTTGCTGACAGTCATGGTTGGGAGGAAGTTCGGCAAAAGTCCGATGATAGTCGGTGGTTGGGCATAAGTCCGGCGAATGTTCATAGCCTAGCGAAAGTCTGGTAATAGTAGGTGGCAGGGCGTTAAGTCTGGTGACAGTCGGTGGGCAGGGCGTTAAGTCCGATGATAATTAGTGGCCGGGTGGAAGTACAGTGACAGTCGGTGGTTGGGAGGAAGTCCAACAACGATCAGTAGCTGGGCATTGGTTGAGAAGGAACTTGTGGCAAGAGAGATATCAGATTTCTCTTCCTCTCCTCTCTTCTTCCCCTCCTTATTCCTCCATCCCTCAATGAAAAATAAAAAGTCTATTTATAATTTTCTGAGTGGCGTAGCCAATAAATATCGAGAAGATCAAGGTAACCTTGGGAGTGGTTCGATTGGATGACCAATAATGATTCTCTTGATCATACACTGTTTATCGAGCATTTGAATGCCTTAATGATGTTAGAATTTGACAATATTGGGCTCGTTGGATTCCTTATAGATCTCGTCGAGCCGATCGATTCGACTATAAGCATGTCATATTTGGAATTTATCTGATAGTCCAATTTATACTTTGAAGCTTTCGAACGTGCTTCAAGTCCTCGATTTGGTCCCATTTGGACTCGGATTGGATTGAATTTGGTGTCGTTAGGATCATCTCTTCGATACATTTAGTTCGACTATAAGTTTGTTGAAATCGGAATTTGGATGATCATGAATTTAATTATAGAAGTTTTCAATGCGAATTTTCATTGAGATTCGTGCTCGATCAAGAAATTTTTTATGATATATGAAGGTTTTTTCTTTTTTTGGAAAATTTCCTCTAGGTTTTAAATTACTAAATAATTTTTAAAATAATGAAAAATAATTAATCTAAATTCATAATTTTGAAAATTATATTATATTCTTCAATCAAGAACATTACCATTGAAAAGTACAGAGAAATTGTCCCAAAGACGTGGGCATCTGATCCCACCGCGAAAGCAGGCAGAGATTCTGGTTTTTTTTTTTCCCGGCAACCAAGCAGGAAGCTTCCTTGAAGCTTCTTGCCTGACAATCGCTCAATTGACTTATTCCGCAGCAAAAAGTCTGTTTCAGATTTCCTAGTTAAAATCATTAAACTTAGTTTAAAATTTTTTATAAAAAATTTCTATTTATTTTAAAATAAATTTATTGGTTTAAAAACTTCATGTTTATCAGAATTTTAATAACAATATCCTGATAATTTCTCCCGTATTCCCCATCTTCGAGGAGACTTCCAACCCATGTCCTTATTATACAATCCAATAAATTAAAAGCACGGAATAAAGGCAGATCGTACAGGCTATCCGTAACCCTTCGTGGTCCTAAACAGGGGAGCTTTCGGTTTTTATTTATACCTCAAATCATATTATTTTTACTTTTATTAAATATTGCATTAACCCGGCAACCGCCTACCGGTACAGCGGTGGTCAGCTGGGTAGAAGTAATTTTTATTTTCTGTAATGAGAGCACTTAAAAACAGATATTCTTAACGATGTGAAAAATAGCATTGGTGGTGGATTTCGATGCCCAGATGAAGGTGTATAGGGCAAAGATATTAATAGTGAGGATAGAGGCGAGTATGAAGAGGTGATGAGCACAAGGTGGCAAGTCGGAATCGGGTGGTGCCGTCGTCAATCTTAAGGGAAACTAATCTCATCACCGGCGGCTTCAACATCGGTTAATGGAAGAGTATCGCTGGTCACCTATCGTCGTCGGCGACTGTTTGCCTTCGGATGGAAGAACGGAAGGATGCAGAGAGCTGCGAGCCTGTTGACCGAAGAACTAAACTTATAGGATTTTAGGGGGTAAATGGGTGACAATATTGATAAGGTTTGGCACACAAAATTTATGACAAAGTCATTTTATCATTTTATATAATTTGTAATTACTATAAGCATTTGTTGCCCCTGCATTATGACCACTAATGGCAAAACACTTTTTTACTTTTTAACAAACCGATTCAGAATGGGCATTGGGCGGCCTGGATGAGCAGCAATAATAATGGCATAATAGTTTTAAAGTGTTGCCGGGAATCAGAAGGGAACACGATAGAACAGTAACATGCGCGTCGCTAGAATGCGCAGAACAGGATGATAAGCCGATAACGATTGGCATCCCCCTCCCCAAATCTCTCTCTCAAATCCCAAATCTCCATGCATCCACCCTCCCCTGCACATCACTAAACCATATTTTCGAAGAATATAGATCACGGGAAAGGGGTAAAACGAAAACGACTGGTTCAAGAACAAAAATCGCATCAAAGAACCAGATTCAAACTATAAGATAGAGAGAGAGAGAGAGAGGACCTGGATGCTGCGTCTGCGAGCCTGGTCCTCTGAACGCTTGTCAAGATCCGCAACCATGCGGAACCTCCGCTTCCGATTCCTGACGATCTGACCGACAGCGTTGCGCCATCGCCGCTGCACCTCCTCGGACGGATTCTTCGCCGGCAAATCGAAGTTCTCCTTCAGAAATCTTTCCATCGTCTCACCCCCAACAACTCTTTATCTCTATCTCTCTCTATATCTATGTTTCTATCTCCGAACTAGGTTTTATGAATTACAATCGATTCATCTTGCTATGAATCGTTTTTCGCCGGAGAAAGAAGATCACTAGAGCTCACGTAAGCGGCTGGGAGGTGGGAACTCAGAGGCGGGAGAAGAAATGACGAACTTGCTGAGCTTTCAAGGAAAATTTTTCTTAAATTGCATTTTTTTTTCTTGGTCTCGTCACCGCTGTGAGCTCACCTCTGGCCTCACTCTGCGGGCTCGCGAAGCTTGCTCTGAACGGAGGCACGTTGTTTTTCATTTTTTTAATGTTTTATTAAAAATTTAAAATATTAAAAAAACATATAAATTTTTTAATTGAATTTACTTTTATTAGATAGGCCGATAAACTTTTGGTAAATATTATTTAAAAAATAAATAAATTTTATGTTCATTTTTAAAGGCTGCAGAGATGGGGATGCTCAGATGGATGAGTGATTTTACCTTTAGAGATAGATATAAAATGAGCATAAATGTGAAAAGGTTGGAGTAGCTCTAGCGGAAGATAAGATTAGAGAGAGCCGACTTAGATGGTTTGGTCACATTAAACGGAGGCTTTTAGATGACCCGGTGGTTAAATATGTTATAAGAGTTTTACATTTTCCTTAAGTGGTGTTGCGAATCAGAACATTCATATGGTAGAGAAAAATAGTTTAATATCTGAGTTATGAACGAAGATCTAATACACATATAGATAAAGAGATAAGGGTGTGATAGCCATAAGGAACACCAAAATTTTTACACAAAAAAATCCTAAAGGGGGAAAAACCACGGGATCTGGCCTAGTTGAAATGATTTCACTAGTGTTTATTGTTTATTACAAATGAGACCCTTCCAATAGGAGGAAGGTCTTGGCTTGATATAGTAAATATCATATAGAGCACATTACAATGTAGTAATGAAAGAATTCAGTGATATGAGAGTTGTTCTCAAGATAATGCGAGTCTATTTATTTAGTTGGTAGGACAACTCCGGAGTTCGGAGAGACCTTAGTCGACGGGCAACATTTTTGAACTTTACATTATATTCATTAGTTCAAATCAAACAACTAAAATCATTCACTTGTATTTAGTTTACATTCATCTAAATAACCCGGTATTCTTTTTACTCTGCATTTCTTTTTTAACCAACCAAACAATCCCTTAGATAGTGATATATGTCATGAGCTAGGGAAAGAAGTCCAATAAACTGGTTGTGCTCATTCTATGAATCATTTTAATATTTCAGGAAAAGAAAAGAGCTCATATGAGCTGGAAAGTAGTGTCAATTTTTCTCTGAAGCATGATAGTCAAGGAATCATTTTGCAATTTGATTTTAATTATTTTGATGGAGAGATTGATCCTAGAACTAGATTATTGTACATGTGTTTTGATGAGATGAAATGAAATGTTTTTAAATTGCATTTTTATTATTTAGATTTCGTAGTAGCTCTGATTGATTGCATTTGTGATTGAGTTAAATCACAGGATTATGTTTTCAATCATTCTATTAGATCTTAGGGCATCACATTACGGTCCTCCATTACACGACAATGGTCCTCTAACCTCTATCACACGACTACAATCGTCCGACCTCCATCACCCGATTATGTTCCACCAACCTGTAATATTTTGATCATTATTGTATGGCTACTCCAACGCCTATTTACTTTATCACATATCATCATTAATAATGTCAACTTATGTCGTCACTTATATGATTGATGAATGTCGTCGACATCAACTCCGACTCCCAACTACAAAATTAGAATATAAGTTGGATTCCTGTCAAATAGATCTTCCAACTTCAACCAAATAATATATTAATTAAAATGTACCATTATATTCTCTTGAAAAGGGGCTTCACTAGTAATCAAATACAAATATTAGTTAAATCATTTTAACTATGACAGACGCGCGCTATTAGAATTTTCACATAAAAACTCTCATGTCCCTTATAATTCTTGTACTCCTCTCTTATTTATATGTGTGCTCAATCTTCATGCAAAGCTACGACATTACACTATTTTTTAATTGTTGTGAATATTCCAACACGCAACAAATAATAATCTTTTTAATCATTATTCGTAAACTCATTTTCTCTAGAATTATTTGTGTGACATTAAATAACATATATTTTTAGTAGCTTCTAAATTCAAAATTTTACAAAGCTACTATCTTTTTTTTTTTTAATTACGTTATAGTTTTAAATATTAATTTTTCATGCAGTAGTTAAAACCATCATATGACCTCAAATACATCTTTAAGGGTCTGTTTCAGGAATAATTATTACGTCCTCCGACCGGACGTAGAGGAACGTCCGATCAAAGGTAAAATCGTGTCAAAACATGAGAAATACCGAGCAATACCAAACAATAACGATGAATACCATCATGTGAAGACCCAATACAGAGTTATACCTAGCTATACAGAGTTATACAAAAAATACCGAGTTTTTCCTAGAAAAAACTCGGTATTTTTTGTATAACTCGGTATAGCTCGGTAAAACTTGGTATTGGTCTTCACAGAGCGGTATTTCTCGTTATTATAAAAAAATACCTAGCAATACCGAGCAAAAATGGAGGATTTTGCCTCCAACCAGACGTTCCTCTACGTCCTTTTATCTGCTTTTCTTGTATATCATAGACAACCACATCTCATTTAGCTACTATTTTCTTATTATTATTATATATATATATATATATTCCGGAAAGATATTATATTATTTTCTGGAAAGATATCGTATTATTATATAGTTGTTTGATTTAATATTATTGTAATAATATTTAAATCAATTAAATTTAAGGGTAAAAAAAATTAAGCCATTTGTTTCTTACAAGATTATAATATAATTTAAAATTATAATCACCATCAGTTTTAATGATATTATATTTATTTAAGTAAAATAAAATTTCATAACAGATGTTACATATGCTGGATATCTAAAGCAACTTACCCTTATTGTAAGCACAGCAATGCAAACACATCCCACATCAGCTAAGTGTATCCGCTTCTATCCGAAGCCTATAAATAACTCTGTAATCTATCTCTAAAGTGAATAAGATAATTTCATTTACTGTTTACCTTTTTCCTCTGTGCACCTTCTTCCTCACCGAACTACTCTATCATGGTATCAAGAAGCTAGATGGGGGATCAAGATTCTTCATCATCGCTCCCTCCCGCATCCACAATGGCGAACACCACGACCACGGCAGAGCTTGTTCTTCCGCCCACGCTCAAATTCATCATCTCTAATATCAAGAACCTTCTTCCTTATACTCTCACCGCCGACAATTACGCTCTCTGGCGTTCGCAAATCTTTCAGCACATCTCGGCCAACGGGTACGCTGCTCATCTCTCCGGCACCACCACTCCTCCGTCCGATCAAAATTCTGTCGAATACGCTCAATGGCGTCTCATCGACAGCAACATAGTTTCAGCCTTATTCTCGACGATTTCGCCTGCAATTCTTCCATACGTCATCACTTACTCCACCGCCACCGAAGTCTGGACTGCTTTGGAAAAACGACTTCAATCCTCGAGTCGATCGCGCATCCTACAACTTAAGAACGAATTGCACAACGTTCAAATGAATACCTCCACGATGCAGCAATACCTCGGCAACATCAAGAACATAGTCGACACCATCGCAGCTTCTGGCAGTTCCGTCGATCCGGAAGACATTATTCTTCACACCTTAAACGGTCTACCGGCCTGTTACAACTCCATCAAGACCTACATTCGGTCATCTTCCCTTCCAGCCGATCTCGATGCGCTCTACTCGCTCCTATGTAGCGAAGAAATTCATGTCAATCAAGAATCCAAGAAAGATCAAACTCAGGCTTCCGCAGCTCTCTACGTCAACAACTCCAATACATATCGGTCCAAGAACATGAAAAAGAACTTCAAATCTCGACCAAATTCAAACAAGAATCTTCCCGGCTCCGATCAAACCAACACTCAGCAGAACTCATCTGGCTCTCGACCAATCTGCCAAATCTGCAATAAGATAGGCCACTCTGCTTTCAACTGCTGGCACCGAACCAATCTCAACTACAACCCGTCGAACTCCTCCAACCCGCGTGCTCTTCTTGCTCAACCGAATCAAGATTCAGCACAAAACTGGGTTCTGGATTCGGGTGCAACCAACCACATGACGGCTGATAACACATCCATTCAGAACCCCTCGATCTACACCGGGCATGACTCTGTCTCGACAGCCAGTGGATCCACAATTCCGATCCAACATTTCAGTCAAGGTTTGCTCCCTTTGCCAAATACACCTCGTAAGCTTCGTCTCTGCCATCTTCTCCATGTTCCCGATTTAACTCACAACTTACTTTCCGTATCTAAGTTAACTCGAGACAATTCAGTCTCGATCACATTTGATTCTAATGGCTTCAAAATTAAGGACGTTCAGGATCAACAGCTCCTTCTTCGTGGTCACCTGCATAACGGCATCTACCAACTTCAGGTAGAACCGGACCTCGGACAGCAAGCCTTTCACACGCGGTTCACATCTCCGGCGATCTGGCATGCGAGACTCGGTCATCCGAACAACAAGATTCTGAATAACATAGGATCCAACACTACCGGCATTCCTCATATCACCTCTGATTTTCTGTGTCAATCGTGTTGTATGGCGAAAAGCCACAAATTAAAGTTTTCCGATAGTAAATCTGTAACCTCGCATCCTTTTGAACTCATTCACTCGGATGTTTGGGGACCTATGTCGTCTTCCTCTAATTCATTTCGTTTTTACGCTATCTTTATCGATGATTTTACTCGCTTTAGCTGGATCTATTTCTTGCATAATAAGAGTGATACTTTTCACTGTTTTAAACATCTTTTAGCTATGATACAAAACCAGTTCTTAGTCACTCCAAAGATATTTCGGTCAGATGGCGGCGGAGAATTCACAAGCAATGAATTCAAAGACTTCTTAAACAAATTCGGTATTCTCCACCAGCTGAGCTGTCCTCACACACCGGAACAGAACGGCTTAGCCGAACGCAAGCACCGCCACTTACTGGATCTCGCTCGTACACTACTTCATGCAGCCGGTCTTCCGAATACCTTCTGGACTGATGCCGTCTCAACAGCCAATTACTTGATCAATCGTCTACCTTCCAAGGCGCTCTCACTTCAATCACCGTATCACAAATTACACAACAAACTACCAGATTACGATCACCTAAGAACTTTTGGGTGTCTATGTTACCCGTGGCTCCAACCCTACACTACGAACAAATTGGAACCAAGATCCCAATCCTGCGTATTTCTGGGCTATTCTTCCCAACACAAAGGCTATAAGTGTCTAAACCTATCCAATAATAAAATTTACATATCAAGACATGTAGTCTTTCATGAATCTGTCTTTCCTTTCAGATCTTCGGCTGCAGCAGACAACGGACAATCACAACAATCCGACATTCCTATTTCCCCTCTTCTTCTAGTTCCGTCGTCTACTGTACAACAACAACACAATTATTCAAATATGGTCTCTCCCGCCAACCACACCACAACTCAGTTGCAACTCATCGATCACGAACCTCCTCCTCCGCAGCCACCAAGTTCTCTCAACAGCTCTGCTTCTCCACAGGACACGATTCCACCGTCTCATCCCATGCAAACTCGTTCGAAATCGGGTATCACTAAACCTAAACAATTTATTTCTCTAATGACTCATCCCGGTTCGACAGACACTCCAGCAACATTTAAACAAGCCATTCAATTTCCACACTGGCGGGAGGCTATGACTAAGGAATATCAAGCTCTTATTCAACAACGCACATGGTCATTAGTTCCACCCCCTCCACACAAGCAAATCATTGGCAGCAAATGGACTTATAAGACTAAGATTCTACCGAATGGCCAAATTGACCGCTACAAAGCAAGACTAGTCGCTCTCGGATGTGCGCAACAGTTCGGCGAACACTACACAGAAACTTTTAGCCCCGTTGCAAAGATGGTTAGCATTCGTCTTCTTCTCACAATGGCGGTCAATCGAAACTGGAAGGTTCTACAACTCGATGTCTCCAACGCATTTCTTCACGGAGACATATCCGAAGAAATTTACATCAAGCAACCTCCCGGCTTCGAGGATCCAACTCAACCCAATGCGGTTTGCAAGCTTCACAAATCGCTCTACGGTCTCAAACAAGCGCCTCGTCAATGGTTTCATAAGCTCACATCTTTCCTTCAGCAACGCGGATTCGGGTTCAGTCGTTCCGATCCATCCCTATTAATCTACAATAAAAATAATGTTCAAATCTATTTTTTAATCTATGTGGATGACATTCTTGTAACAGGGAACACTCCTACACATATACACAATCTGCTGCAGGATCTCAAAACTCAATTTGCAATCAAACAGTTCGAGCAGATCTCATTATTCCTCGGCATACAAATCACCCGCACCACTGAAGGTTTCTTTCTCACTCAGGGACACTATGCCTCCAAACTGCTTCAAGACGCGGGCATGGCCAACTGCAAAGCTGCACCTACTCCCATAACTCCAGCGTCCAAGCATGCGGCAGTCAACAGCAAACCTTTCTCAGACGCATATCTATATCGACGTCTGGCTGGCTCACTTCAATACTTATCGATCACTCGTCCTGACATCGCATTCGCCACCAATCAAATGTGCCAACATATGCAGTCTCCAACCGATCACAACTTTCAGAACCTCAAACGCATTCTACGCTACATAAAAGGGACTATCACTCACGGTCTCCCGATCATTCCCGGCGACACCGCTCTTCACTCCTATACAGATGCAGACTGGGCGTCCGACATTGCCGATCGCAAGTCTATTTCCGGTTTCTGTACGTTTATGGGACCTAATCTTCTTTCTTGGTCAGTAAAGAAGCAGGTTACCGTCGCCAAGTCGTCAACTGAAGCGGAGTATCGCGCTCTCTCTGCCGCGACGTCGGACATCCTGTGGATTAGGAGACTAGCCGACGAACTCCAGCTGAGACAAGACTCCCCAACCGTCATCCATTGCGACAGCATTTCCGCAATCGCCATAGCCAAGAACTCCGTGTTTCATGCCCGCACCAAACACATAGAGATCGATTTTCAATTCATCCGCCAGCATATTCTCTCGGGCAACATCACCATTCAACACATTTCATCTCACGATCAGATAGCTGACATTCTCACTAAACCTTTTGCTTGTTCTCGTTTCGAATATCTCCGTTCCAAATTGACCATCCGCTCGCCGGATGATCAATTTGAGGGGGAATGTAAGCACAGCAATGCAAACACATCCCACATCAGCTAAGTGTATCCGCTTCTATCCGAAGCCTATAAATAACTCTGTAATCTATCTCTAAAGTGAATAAGATAATTTCATTTACTGTTTACCTTTTTCCTCTGTGCACCTTCTTCCTCACCGAACTACTCTATCACTTATAACTGTCATGTTTGATTTCAAACATTGGGTCATAATAGATAAGATATATGATAAATACAACATAAATAGGTGAGATTCGATGTTTATTAATCAAGCCATCATAAAAATTTGTTTTGGATTCAATAAGTCTTGAATGTCAATTTATTTGACTCGACCATAATTTGATACTTAAGCTCCTAAATGCAAAACACTTTGGGCTATGGCTAAGGCTTTGTTTGGGACGAATTTCTTAATGCTTTATATCATAAACTTTTTTAAAAGCAACAATAGTAGTAACCAATTATGAGTGTGGAAGCTTTCAAGAAAGTAAAATTGTTAGGTATAAGGATAACACAACTACTCAATACAAAATTGCACTTACAAGTTTCCCCTAAAAAAATTAGAAAATCTTAATCATTATGAGGCCAAGAAGGTGCTAGAAGGATTGTTATGCTCAATTGGAATAGTTAGCAAGATAACAAACCTATGAAAGTTAGCATAAAAATAGTTTTCATAGTATCTTTTATAAATAAGTACAAGTTATAGAATGGGTCTTACTTTTAATTGTGTCCACCATATAGTGAAAAGTGAAATATTTTATTTCTTGTTGGCTTTCTCATATAAATAATATGGTTTGATCACATAAAACAAAGGCCTTCCGATGACTCGATCAGCAAAATAGATGTATTAGATTTGACTTATATTAAGAAAGATAGAGATAGACCTAAAAAAAATTGGTTAGAAACTATTAAAATTGACTTTTTTTTTATTAGATTTAGATGAGAATTTGACTTTTAATATGACACAATGAAGAAAAATGATTAATGTAGTCAATCCCACATAGTGGGATAAAGTATTGCTATTACTATTGTTGTTTCTCATATATATATATAACAACAACAACAACATCAAGTATTTATCCCACTACGTGGGGTTGGCTACATGAATCCTTTTTCTCCATTGTGTCCTATTAAAGGTCAAATTCTTGTTTAAATCTAATAAAGAAAGGTCATTCATAATATTTTCTAACCAAGTCTTTTTAAGTCTGCCTCTACCTTTCTTAACATAAGTCAAATCTAATACCTCTACTCTCCTAACAGGGTCATTGGAAGGCCGCCGTTTTATGTGACCAAACCATCTAAGGCGACTCTCTCTAATCTTATATTCTACTGGAGCTACTCCAACCTTTTCACGTATATGCTCATTTCGTATCCTATCTCTAAGGGTAAAGCCACTCATCCACCTAAGCATCCTCATATCTGCCACACTTAACTTAGTATTATGCTTCTCTTTTAGTGGCCAACATTCAGCACCTTAAAGCCAGCACCTTAAAGCATTGCAGGCCTCACTACCATCTTATAGAATTTTTCCTTAAGTTTGAGGGGTACTTTTCTATCACATAACAAGCCCGATGCATTCCTCCACTTCAACCATCCAACTTTAATTATGCTAATAATATCTCCATCAATTTCACCATCACTCTGAACAACAGATCCAAGATATCTAAAACGTGTGCTCTTATTAATGACTTGATCGCCCAAAGTCACAATTCCCTCACTAGGTCTATTACTACTAAATTTACACTCCATATATTCCGTTTTAGATTTACTCAAGCGAAAACCTTTAGTCTCTAATGTTGACCTCCATAATTCAAGTTTACTTTCAACTCCCTCTCCAGTCTTATTAACAAGAAGAATATCATCAGCAAAAAACATACACCAAGGTACATCCTCTTGCAAATGTTTAGTGAGAACATCCATGACTAAAGCAAAAAGATATGGGCTTAAGACTGATCTTTGATGTAACCCAACCAAAATAGGGAAATACATGGTCAAACCACCTTGTGTTTGAACACACTCCTGCATATATATCTTTAATTATTTGAATATAAGCATTATTAACTCCTTTCTTTTCAAGAACTCTTCATAGCACTTCTCTTGGAACTTTATCATATGTTTTTCTAAATCAGTAAAAATCATATACATATTCTCCTTATTTTATCTATATTTCTCCATCAAACCTCTTAATAAATGTATGACTTCCATAGTCGACCTACCCGACATGAATCCAAATTGATTAACCATATATATATATTGACTTTTATAAGATGATAGTGATACAACCATTTTAAGGAGTTGGTATAAACTTATTTCCCAATGAATGATTCCTATTCAAGTAAATATTGATGTTTCCTTTTGAGCTTGTTTTTCATTCTTTAGACTTTATAAGTATTTATCAATATAAGAAGTCAAAAGCTCATTCATTTCTTGGACTTATTTATCATCCTTTTGAAATAAAATGCCACCACCTACAAAGAAACAACTTTCCTTTCTTCTTTCACCACCAAAAACTCTCTAAGAGCAACTTCTACTTCATTAACTACACCAAGCCCCCTAAGCCACTGAGCCAATACTTCTGATGCTTCCTTCTCAACCACCACACCATCTCTCTCCAGTTCCATCAAGAAATCCAAAGCTCTCTCCAGCTTATTCATCTTTCTGTAAGCCCCCAGCATCACTGCAATGCACTTATCATTTGGCTTCAGTCCGGCAACTCTCATATTCTCTATGGTGCTGCGAGCTCCTTCAATCTTCCCAGCCATGCAATAAGCATTCACAAGAAGTGCACAGAGCCTGCTATCTGGAACAATTCCTGCAAACTGGAGGGAGTCGAACACCCTCTGCGCACCTTCGGCATCCCCATCCATTGAAAATGCTCGCAATATCGCCTTGTAAACTTCTCTACCGGCGAACACTTGTTCGGCCTCCATGTCTTTCAACAAGGTTTCTGCGAGTTCCAGCTTTTTCGCTCGAATGTACGCCATGATCATTGAGCCATAGGCTCGCTTGTCCATTGGTGATTTCAGGAGCTTGATATCCTCGAAAGCTTCCTCGGCATGGCGGAGATCGCCGGCTTTGCTGTACATGTCGATGAGGACGGTCAGGGTCACTTGGTCACAGAGAAAGCCTCTGATTTTCATGGATTGAAATAGCTTTTGTGCATCGTGTAAGCGACCGTGCTTCGCATAAGCGTCTATGAGCTTGGTATAGTCGCGAACGTTGGCTTCGAATGATTCTTCAATCAAGGCATACTCCATGACCTACTGAAACCAGTGAGACAAAGTAGAACAAACTTTATTTATGATCATAGCTGTGTTAACAAGCCTTTGTATATTATAAACAGAAACTCAAATATACATTTAGCCAAAAATTTATATTGCAGGAGTTTCAAATGGAAGAAATGCCGGTGTAATCTTCAAGAGAAAAATTACAGATGAAGAAACCATTAAGATGAAACAACAAGGAATACAAAGAAAAGCTGACATTTTTTTTCTCCTTTGTCATGTTAAGAAGCTTTAATTTCTGTCTTTGAAGAATATCTTATGCACAGTTGGTCAATGAAACCTTAATATTTATGAGTAATTTCTTTAAGATTATTTTGAGATTTTCCCTCTAAATTTCAGTTACCCTAGCTTTTTTTCATTAATAAAGAAATGACACTGTCACTATGTAGAGAAATTATTTTGTGCAGACACCGGACGGTCCTAAAATCAACCATAATATATCACGTCATCTGGTACACAGCGGTGCCGAGCAAGAAAGTGATGCAACGGCGCAGCGCGTTCTGGTTGGTTTCCGGATGGTGCGTCCGGATCCGCATAGAATATTTTTCCACTATCCGAGAGTTGCGATAGATTAGGCAATGACAACATAATGAAGTAATTAATTTGGTGGATTTATACAAAATTCATGAAGTAAAATTTAAAGTCTATTTTGGATGGCTTCAATTGTCTCTAAAAAAAATTATTGTAAAGCTAATGTTAGAAAAATAATTTTTTTTAAAGATGCTATTGGTATTATAAAATTTTTCTTCATTTCAAAAAGTCATACTTTCTTATGCCTAATGTACTTTGGCAGATTTGCTGTAAAAATTTGCTTTACATCATAAAATCTTTTAAAAGCAACAATGGAGTAGTAGCCAACTATGAGTGTGGAAGCTTTCAAGAAAGTAAAATTATGAAAAACCAAAGATATGCTTAGAGTTCTTTTAGGACAGCTTCTTCATAACTTGGCTTTACAAGCAATTTTTATATTTATGTTTTACTCCTCTTTTTTTTGCATTTTAAAAATGTGTGTGGTGAAAATAATATTTTTACAACAAAATTTACTAGAATGAGTTAGTAACAAGAAATATATTATTTAACTTTTTTAAAAAATTTTAAAATTTCTAATACACTTAATTCTTTGCAATCTAAACGATTTAATTTTCTAATAAGAAAATAGTCAATCTGGGTTGTATTATATCCATTTTTATAAGTGATGAGATACTCAATTTAATTAATACACTTCCAAATTAGTATTTAAACAAATGTGATTTTTTTTTAAACTTGATGGCTAGATAAATCAAGCTTGGCCACAGTCTAAAATGTTTTTTGAAATTCGTAAAATAAACAACTTGTTGTTCAATAATTAACTTATTGAAAGATTGATATTAAGTTACATAGGCTTTATTTGGGATGGTTTTCTTACTACTTCAAAAAGCTGCTTAAATAAATATTAAGAAAGCCCTCCTAAACGAAGCCATAATAGTTTTTTTGTATCTTTTAATTAAAATTTGATTAAATGTAATTTGTTTATTATTCTAAGGTACTTTCCCAATTCTACTCTCTTATTAGATCTCTTAGTCCACAATTTTTGAGTTCCACCACTTTAAGGCTTCATTTGGGATGACTTTTTTACTGCTTTTTATCACATCTTTTTAGCATAAAAATTTCCTAAACTAAAAAAAAAAATTGTACAAAAAAGCTGCTTTAGAAAACAATAAGTAAGATGCTTTCCACTTCATGAATTTGACATTGTTTGTCTCAAAAATCTTAGCCTTCAGTTCAAAATAAAAATTATACTCTTTATTTTATTTTATTTTATTTCAGATAACACAATAACATAGTTCTTTTGAAAATTTTTTAACTTTCAAGTATGTATACAACATCATGAACAAAATATCAAATAACATAATTAATAAAATTCACAAGTCAATACTAGATTCACAAGTCAATACTTATTCATGATGTAATTGAAAAAAATTATTGAAGGAGCTAAATAAGTTGTTAATGATGATTATCAAGAGAGTTAGTTTTGAAGGAGAAAGAGAGAGAACTTTAAAAGAGAAAAGGAATAAATTGCCTCTCGATTTTTTATGAATGACTAAAATGGTACCCAACTATATTAAAGGGTCATTTTGGTCCCCAAGTCTTTAAAAAGGAATCAAAATAAGCTCATAGTGGGACTATTTTGGTTCCTCATTTAGGAGTTAAGGGACCAAACTGATCTTTTAATATAATTGGAGACTATTTTAGTCTTTCATAAAAAATCAAGGAACCATTTTGATCCTTTTCTTTAATGAAAAATAGATTAAATTAAAAAAAAAACCCTAGGGCACATCGAGGTCACGACGGGATTGGGTAGCATGTGAAGGAAGGAGAAGCGAAGATAATAAGGGGCACTTGCTCAAGACATGCCATGATGGGATTAAAAGCGTGTGAAGAAAGTAGAAGAGGCAAGTTGTAATGGAATCAGTGGCATATAAAGGAGAAGAAGAGCTTGCTGAGATTATTATGAAAATGAGGATGAAGTTGTGCAGCAGGAGTCGGCAAGACAATTTATTATGAATTCATCCAATTTTGACAAATTAGAATATTTGAATACACACAAAATAACTTGAAAGGTATTACAAATATTTTGAAATTTTACTCTGCATTTGTTTTGATCCAAACCAAATTACTAAAATTTAAAAAACACTGCATTCCTTTTCCTAATTTACCCTCAAAATACTCCACCACGCAGCCCCTAAGGAAAAACATGCATAGCCCATAGGAAAATAAATCAATTACTTGTTTCTCAAAGTAATCCAAAAGGTAATTGTAAAGGGAAACTAGATAGCTGAAAAGAAAATTAGTAAGAATTAAGAAAGAGAGTTACTTGGGAGGAGGCGTGGGGTGATGCTTTACCTCCAAAAACAAAGAAAGATCTACCCTCTTTAGTTCCTTCAGCACGGACAGCCAATCACATCTTTTTGGTCGCATGGTTTTCACCCATGAAGCCAACAAGAGGAACAAATTTTCCTCTTCAGAGAAACAGATAAGGCGTCTCATAATGGCTTTGCAGCGATTTGTCATCGTTGGTGAAAGCTGAGATATTTCATGCTTTTGGGCCTCTGTTAACTCCGGCCCAACATCATGCCATTTTAGCTTCAATCCTTCTTTTACCTCACCATTTCCTCCTTCCAAATTAATCACCTCCCCATGAAACAAGCATGCAGAAGAGGGCCTGGAACAGGTTTGTCGAAAGGGCTCTCTATATTTACAAATGTTGAGGCTTCTGTGGTGAAGTTGGGAATTTGGACCAGCTAGGAATACATTCAAGAGGAAACTGGATAGGCTCAATGAAGAAGCGGAGAGCATAATCATTCCAAAAAGCTGCCAAATTAAGATAACTTAATTATAAGTTTGACTCAATAAATAATTATGAAGATAAAATAAAAGAACAATAAAAAAAAGGATTTACATACGTACCACACAATTCTTAAATATTTATATATCTAACATTTAAACTTTGATATTTATTGATATAACGCCTAGATCATTAAGGCTTTGTTTGGGACCGCTTTCTTATTATTTTTTGAATTAGTTTACCAGTACAAAAAAAATTTGATATTTACTAAAAAGCTATGTTGCACCAATACGGTTACGGCGACACGGATACGACACGATACGGATACGAGACAAGTCAATTCTTAAAAATACAGGATACGAGTACGGCGCGGACACGATATTATAATTTAAAAATCATGCATAATAATTAAGAAAGCAATCAAAGCATAATATTTGAAATTACAAAAAAAATAAAAACAACATCATTTATGGCCTTGTAGCTTGTAATATCAAAATATAATTAAGCATTAAATGTCTAGTACAACAACAAAAGCATAAACATAAATTGTCTAGCGCATGAAGTTTCAACTATTCAATAGAAGGAATGATATGATTAGCTTCTTCAGTGGTTTGTCTTTGAACATCTATATCATCTTCAATAAATATCATAGTTTCTAATTCAAGCTCATCAAGTGAAAGATTAGCAATTTCTAATATTCTCATATCATCAAGAGACTCAAATCCATCTCAGAAATGAGAGAAACTTGCTTGCTGCCGCGTAAGTAAATACGACACGTCTTTTTTTTTTATTTTTATTTTTTCAAAGAACACGCGTATCGGATACGCGTGTCCTTTTGAAATTAAATAATATTTTAATTGGATACGGCTTTGACGTATCCGACACGTATCAGTGGCGTATTGGAGGCGTATCCGTGTATCAAATATAGCACGACTTCATAAATAGGTGTATCATTGCAATATAGCTAAAAAGTTATTTTAGAAAGTAGTAACAAACAAAAACTAAAACATATCAAAAATTTCAGTAATCTTGACTTTTCTTTAAGTAAAATACACTTTCATACATATATGTTGATATGGTTGAGGCTCTAAAGTGTCATATCAGTAAATATTAAAGTTTAAATGTAAGATATCTAAATAGATAATAACTGTATGATATGTATGTAAACCCCTAAAAAAAATAAAAGTCAAAAAGAAAAAAAAGAGATATAGAGAAAAAAGTTCACTGATAAAGGAGTTCGATTGTGTTTCAAAGAACTCGGCTACAAGACATTTTGAGTGTTTATTCGTATAAATAATGACATACGCTTGACATTATCATTCATGAACCTCTACCCTGCACGAATAAAAAATAGATAACTCCAAAAAGCTATTGCAAAGCAAAATAGGGAATTAGCCCCAATACTGCATATTGCTATGTAGAAAAGCATGTGTATAACTTCTAATTTGCAAAAAACAGAAAAGTATTAGATGCTAGTGAAAAATGCGGAATTAGGACTACTTTTGATAGATAAAAATATAATCATGTAAACTAAGCATTACGGTGCAAAACAGGTGAGCAGATACAATAAGATTATTTCAAAATCTTTGAAAAACATGGATGAAATGATAATGGCAATTGCATTTTCAGTGATTGCTTAATTGCAGCGAACAAGTTTAAGTCTTTTCATTATCTAAATTTTAGCAAACAAGATTTTGACTACAACCACAATTATTCATGCCAACATATACAATGATGGCCCCTCCCACCTATAAGACAACCAAAGTGTGAAGAATGGAGAGCTCAATAATGGGAAGAATCAATGAGAAAACAGTCACAACACTAAACAATGAGAAGTCGTACATTAACTAAAATTGCACACCTTATGGGGAAAGGTACAGACCAAAGATAAATTTGACAATAAGTAACTCCTCATTTTGCTTTTGCCAAACATTTGGAACTGCTGAGAAAGAGTGGTATTGAAACAACTTGTCCCATTTACCTCGCCAAAATGCTATAGTATTCTTGGATCCACATATCACTTTGATTGTTTGATAGGGTGAGAAAATACAAATAGTAAAGTGTGTAAACATGAGAAATATTATACTCCTAAAAGTCGGTGGAACAAAAATGCTATAATTTCTTAGCTAAAATCTTAAAACATGATAGTTGATGTAGTTGAAGGTTCAAGAATCTTGAGCAACCAAATAAGGACAGAAAAATTGGACACCTGCAATTTATAAAACTTGATTTTTTTCATTGTTGTCATGAAGAGACATCAAGCTGATGGAGTTTGCTGTCACAAACAAAAAGAATATATATAATTGTAGAATTTAATCAAATACAAGAGAGAAAAAAAAAAAAATGTAGACAACACTGCCCAAAAACGATATCAAGAAACTCATATTGGAATTGAGGTCCAACAATTCAGTATACTTTCATGTTTATGCTCATGAGTTACTGAAGGCCATTGGCCAATCTTCCTTCTCTCCTTCCCTCTAATGAACAATCTCAAGCTATTAGTCAACCAGCAAATAAAAAGAAAGCAGGCGCATTCAGTAATCACCAGGTGTTTTTTTTTTCAAAAACAGCTAGTTACAGTAAATAAACATTAGTTAGAAAAATGAGAATTATTAATGAAGAGTGAACCAAACCTACTTATCATGCACGGACATTCAAAATATCAACTATCAAATCTATAAAGAGCAATTCAATGCATCAAAGGAAAAACTTAAAGTATACCTTGAATGTGTTTACGTGGATACTCCAGAGATCGTAAGCCTTTTAGATTTCCAAGAGATTTGAGGAGAAGGAATTACAAAATAGGGATTAGAAGAACTGGAAAACAGTCGACGTAATGGATCACGACTGCCTCCATCAAGCACCACAAAACCAACAGTTCCGGCACCAAAGGATACCTTTTTCTATTCCGACGGCCAGAGGAAGAAGGTAAAGGCGAAGACGATTTAGGGATTTGGGGGTGTCATTGAGGGCAAATTATTGCGTCCTGTGCTACAGTAAAGTGCAGTTACTGTAAGAGACCGAACGCATCTCTCTGTCAGGTGACCTGATGCAATAATTTGCCGTCATTGAGTCCACTGGAGCTCGACTTTTGAGTCACTCGTAAGTTTGTGAGTTAGTTTAATATTAAATATATTTAAACATATAAAAAGTCAATCAATTTAACATAAAATTTTTAAGAATTTTTAAATATCATAATTTTCTTTCTTATGTAAAATAATTTTTTTAATATCATTTATTAAAATTTTAATTCTTTTTTATCTTATTATAATAATTATTTAACTAAGAATTATTTTCTATTCTATTAGAAATGAGCCAACTCTTAAGGCGACTCAAAATTATAAAATTAAAGTTGATATGTCATCAAAAAATTATCTTGATCGGGCACGAATCTCAAGGCAAAATCAATCTGGAAGTTTCAAAAATTAAATATTGGATCACATGAACTCTGATTTTAGCAAACTTACAGTCAAACTGAGCGTCTCGAAAATACGAACCCAACGACACCAAATTCGACTCAATCGAAGCCCAAATGAGTCCAAATCAAGGACCCGAAGCGCTGTTGAAAACTTCGTACCACAATTTAAGTTACCAAACGGTTTCAAATTTGACGACTTATAGTCAAATCGAGCGGCTCGACGAGACGAATCCAACGAGCCAAAGATCACAAATTCCGAAGTCATTAAGACCTTCAAATGTCTGATAAACGGTCCATGATCGAAGGATTCAATATCGACCGTCCATCTGAACCACTATATATTTGCCCCTGATCCGTCATTTACTTCAGAAAATCTATAAATAGATCCCTCATTTCACTTGAGAGGGGACCAAAGAAAGAAGAAGAGAAGAGAGAAGAGAAGGATAGGAGGGAATAACTCATCCTAGACCACCGTTGGAGTTCTGCCTAACGTCGGAGTGACGCTGGAATTATGTCGGACGCCTGAGTGACGTCAGAATTTTTCCCAAGTGACACCGGAATTCTGCCCAACGCCATAATTCTACCAGACTTCCAAACAACGTCAAAATTCTGCTCAACTTCGGAACGACGCCGGAATTCTACTCTACTTCCGAAGGACGCCAACATTCCGCCTAATCTCCATGTGACGCCGGAACTCTGCTCGACATTGTAACTGACTTTCAATCCTAAAAAGATTCATTTTAATCTGATCGTCCTAAATTTTAAGGACGAGTCAGCCTCTATTATTTTAAGCAAACACTAGTTGAACTCTTTCAACTGGACGTGGCCCCGTGGTTTTTCCCCTTTCAGGCTTTTCCACGTAAAAATTATAGTGTTGCTATTTTTCCTCTGTTTGTATGCTAGATATTCATACAACGCTGAGACAGAAATTTTTTAACTCTATCGCCGCGTATATTCTAGTCCGCAACAAAAGTTTTATTTGGTATGACTTTTTTATTGTTTCTTAAAATAAATTTTTAGAATAAAAAAAATTTATAGTTGAAAATTAATTTAGTAAGTAATAAAAAAAATTATCCTAAATAAAGTCTAAAACAAAAATTGAGCCTGAACTCCATCAATTAATCAAGCTAAGCTTTAGCCAATGGTGACTTGAGCTGATTTAACTCATTCACTCTCCTAACTTAATCAGGCAAATTAGAGAAGGCAGACGGGAAACAGTCAAATTCAAGCTAACGATCGAAGTGGTTACACAGATGACAATGCAGAAAAAAAAAATCACGCCAAATATTTTAGTACGAGAAAAAAAAAAAACTAAATAATAGTTAAAATTTTCCCCTTCCATGGATGCAATCTTTTTTTGTCTCTCATAACGATATAATGATCTCTCAAATCTTTGAGAATCTCATCATCACAAAAAATATAAAACTTGCATCACTTAATACCCAATGATATAAAAATTCATTCATAAATAAGATACATATATGACCACAACTAAAGTCCTAAATATCTCATATTGTGTCCTTATACAAATAGGGACAAAATCTACCATTTTGAAAATCATCCTGACATCAAACTCAACCCAAAAAACCTAGCAAACAAGAAACATAATACAATATAAGTTCTGCTATATAGGCAAATTATTCTGTGGGAATGCCAAACGTCGTACAGAGACCAATCAGAATACGCCATGTCACCCCTGCTCGGTACCTCAACTCGGTCTTGCGCTCGGTATCACTCGATATTGTGCTCGGTGCTGCTAGCGTGATACATTCTGATTGATCTCCGAACGGTAAACTGCATTGTTCGCACAAAACAATTTCTCTTATATAAGACTTCATTTGGGGCAGATTTTTTACCGCTTCTTAAAGTAGCTCTTTAGTACACAAATTTGAAATTTTATACTCCAAAATTATTTTAAAAAGCAATAAGAAAATCGTCCCAAACGGAAGCCTAGATCAAATGGTATCATTTGACAATACTGATTAATTGCAAAAAAGATTGTAACGATCACATTTTCCTTTTACTTCTATTAAACAAAAAAATATACTTCTTTTCTCTTGGTATTTGCATAACGGTACATGGAAAGCAAGGCGGTGCTACAAGATTTGACAAGGGCCTGCCACCAGTGTGGCTTCGACCATGAAATATATTTTGTTAACAACATATTTATCCTTCTATACATTACATCTATTAGAATTACAGGCTGAGAAAAGGGCATTTCATTGCTTGTGTGGCATTCAAACGCAAACTTCTGTGTCTTAACACATCAGCGTTGCAGACCGATGAGCTCATCTTCCTTAGGTGAGGTCTGAATCCTGAAAACAAAATTTTCCTCCAGTATTTATAAGGGTACCATTAGATGTACGAGTAGTCCAAAAATCCAATGGGTTTTTGTTAGCCCAACGGCAAATGCTGCACAGGAAAATGTCAAAATGTAATCAGACTGAGGAATACAACTCCAACGGCACCATAGAAAAAGAAAAGCAGCGTTCAGATAGTTAATTGATTAAATATTTATGTGATTGAAGAGAATGTGAATGGTTACTAATATGTTCTAATGAGCTCTATCCGAACCCGCATTTGATTAACAATCGGAAATCAGTATTAGTACCAGAATCCGAAGGACTCTTACAAATGATACGTTCCTCTTTGTGGTAGATACTTTTTAAAGCAGTTTTTTAATATAGAAATTTTAGTTTTTGTACTAAAATGCTACTTTGAGAAGCAGTAGAAAAGCCGTCCCAAACAAGGCCTTGAGCTCTATTTGGGGCGGATTGCTTTTTTAAAGCAACTATCTAGTAAAAAATTAAAAAAAAAAAAAATATTTTTTAATAAAAAAATGCTTTAGAAAGCAGTAAGAAAATTGTTATAAATGAAATTGTAATAACCTAGCAATATGTACCATTGTACCTTTTAGACTAAAAAATCATCAACAACAAATACATAATTTATTAAAAATAAAAAATTCGCAAGATAACAAATCAGAATGAAGCAAATAGTTTAGCATGTATGATTAATTTGGGACTTTTAAGATATTTTATATATCAACTGTATTCTATAAATTTTATATATAATATGTATGAATATTTTTTATATTTTAATAAAATATTAGATTAGTTATGATAGACAGATATCCCAAAAGTTAATAAAAAATACTATCGGATTACCCTAATGGATAGTACTTGGTGGTCAACAAATATACTCCAATATGGGGGAAGAAAACATTCAACTTCCATTGAATATTCATGAATTAAGACTAAGGGCGCGTTTGGGACGGATTTTCTCCTGCTGTACTTTACCAAACGTAACTGAGAGGTGGTTTGGGGTTTCTTGATCGTGCTCTGTTCTCGACAATTTCACATCATGCGATTGCTTCTCACGTCCGTAGGAAGCCTCCCACGGTTCGCCGCTTCCCGTTGTTCATAGCTAATGATAAATACGTTAATGCCCATGCTACTTATGAACTGCCCCATTTTCTTCTTCATCCTCACCAATTTCCCCTCCACTCCTCCGCTCTTGTCTCATCTCACAACGCTCATACTCACGCCAATTTCCCCTCATGTTAAACTCTCATACTCTCCTTTTTATTTATCCTATTGTGTCCATAGATGGGACAGAGAGCAATCAGCTTCAGTTTCAAATTTGCTTCTTCTGAAATTTGAAGATGTAATATCTTGCATACATTACTTGCTACCTAAAAATATTTAAGAAACATTTTATTTTGCATGCTTAACTTATTATTGATGAGAAAGAGTAATTGAAGCTTGTGTACAGTTCAATAATCATATGTTTTGTGGAAATGTCAATTTCTTATATTTCTTATTATTTAACTACTAGTCACTCTCCTGTAAAACATCTTCATTGAATGTAATATTCAACTTGCTCATTCGCAACGCTGCAAAGAAAAAATATAATGCAATAGTTGATTTGAAGTTTTTTTAATGTGTTGTAAAATTTATTTTGTAAGTTATGTTTTAAATTTATTTAGGCAGACACAAACGAGACAACTACTCTTAAAAACATAAAGAAATATGAATTGACAAATTGAAACATCATCCCTTATTCAGATAATAATTTTTAGAATGAGAATATTTTTTTTCCAGTTCTGTCAAAACATAATAAAAAAGATACTGTGATATTTTTTCCAATCATCTGATATTTATGTATAATTAGTTTAAGTTTTGTTGAGGTAAATGATCACAACTATCATTAAATTGAGAATTTATATATATGAGAATTTTCTTAACATGATAAAACCTCAGCCAAGTATATTATAACAGTGACAAAATCTGATTATTATTGCATGATATTTATGCTTATGAATAAAGCTTACAATTTACACTTTACTTAAGACTAACAAAATCAATTATATTTAATTTTTTGCATTATATAAAAAAAGCATGATATCTCTTATTTTTAAATTACTAGCAACAATTATGAATTATATTGTTATGCATATTGCCTCTTATAATTTGTAAATTTATAATACAACAATTAAGAAATTCAATGGATAAACCAAAGGATGGCGGACCATCCGCAACATGTGAGAAAGATGTGAAGATTATATTTTGTGATTCATGTCTAAGTGAGATTGAACTTTACAATCGACCAACTACATGCTTCAATAAAGAAAGTTGGATGAATTTAATTAAGAGTTTTTATGAAAAAACATGAAGAGAGTATGATAAAGTTCAGTTAAAAAATAAATATGATCAGTTAAAAAAAGATTGAAAATTATGGAAAGAATTGAAGCGTGGGTCCACTCGATTGGGTTGGGATTTTAGGAGAAAACTATTGATGCCCCAGATGAATGGTGGAAAGAAAAATTAGAGGTAAATATTAATTTTATACATTTGTCTAATTCAATCCTTATATTATGTCTCTTAATTATATAAACTGAATTTTTCTTTCTAGTTTATGCCAAATGTAAGAAAATTTAGATATTGTGGCATTGATCTCGAACTTAAAGATAAGCTTGATCATATATTATTAGGTGTTGTTGCTACCGGAGATCATGCTTGGACTCCGAACTAAGGACTTCACCATGAAAATGTTACTAAAGATTCTGAACACATTAATATAGGTATTGAGTTTTTTGAAGATCCTTCACAAAATCTTGATAATATTAGTGACTGTAGCCAATTGAAATGTCCTTCCTCAACAACTTCAACCAGTAGAAGGAAAAAAAATATTTGGCTTCACATTACTAAAAACTCAATTTATTCAACAAGTCAATTCATGCACAAATAATAGCTCTGACACTAATGCATCAAAGTCAAATCAGTAGGAATGTAAAACCAAAGGTTTTTTTCCTTTTATCGGATGAAGTTGCTGATAAAGAATATTTCAATTGTTTACAGTCACTAATGTTATCGAGATTTGTGAATGATCTTCAAAAGACTCAATACTTATATCAATGTGTTCAGCATCTTCAGTAACATTTTCATGGTGAAGTCATTTGTTCGTAGTCCAAGCATGATTTCTGATAACAAAAATACCTATGAACATCTGATCAAGTTTATCTTCAAGCTCGGGATCAATGCAACAATATCTAAATTTTCTTGCATTTAGCACAACCTAAAAAGAAAATTTTAGTTTGTAGAATTAAGAGATATAATATGATTATTGAATTAGAAAAATGTATGAAATGTATAAAATTAATATTTACCAATAATTTTTCTTTCCACCATTAATAAGGGGGATCAATGATTTTTCTCCAGGATCTCAACCCAATCAAGTGGACTCACACTTCAATTTTTTTCATAATTTCTAATCTTTTTTTAATTGATGCCATTTATTTTTTAACTAAACTTTATTATACTCTCTTCCAGTTTTCTCATAAAAATTTTTAATTAAATTCATCAAATCCTCTTCATTGAAGTGTATAGTCAAACGATTCCAAGTTCAATCTCTCTCAGACATAAATCATAAAATATAATCTTCACATCTTTCTCCCATGTTACGGATGGTCTGTCATCATTTGGTTACCCATTGTATTTATTAATTGCAGTATTATAAATTTACAAATTATAAGAGGTAATATGCAGATCAATATAATTCATAGTTATTATTAATAATTTAAAAAATAAGAGATATCATATTTTTCTATGTACTGCAAAAAATTAAAACTTAAATTGATTTTGCTGGTCTTAAACGAAGTGCAAACTGTAAGTTTATTCATAAGCATTAATTTCATGCAACAATAACCAGGTTTTGTCACTATCATAATATATTTGCCTAAGGTTTTTTATCCTATTAAAAAAATTCTCATAAATCTAAATTCACAATTTAATGATAGTTATTATCATTTACCTCAACAAAACTTAAGCTAATTATACATAAATATCAGAGGATTGAAAAAAATTATTATTGTTTCTTTTTTATTATGTTTTAATAGAACTAGAGAAAAAAAATGCACTCATTCTAAAAAGTATTATTTAGATAAGGGATGATGTTTCAATTTGTATGTTCATATTTCTATATATTTTCAAGAGTAACTATCTCGTATGTCTATTTAAATAAATTCAAAATAAAAATTACGAAATAAATTTTACAACACATTAAAAAAGACGTCAAATCAACTATTGCATTGTCATTTTTCTTTGCAGCATTGCGCATGAGCAAGCTGAATATTGCATTCAATGAAGGTGTTTTACAGAAGAACGGCTAGCAGCGAAATAATAAGAAATATTAAAAACTGACATTTCTACTAAACATAAGGTTATTGAACTGTACACAAACTTCAGTTACTTTTTCTCAGTAATAATAAGTTAAATATGCAAAATAAAATGTTTCTTAAATCTTTGTATGTAGCAAGTGATGAAGGCAAGAGATTACCTCTTCAAATTTCAGAAGAAACAAATTTGAAACTGAAGCTGGTTGCTCTCTGTTCCACCTATGGACACAATAGAATAGATAAAAGGGAGAATATGAGAGTTTACCATAAAATTGAAATCAAAAGTTAATTCATGGAATCTGATAGCTGAACAAAACCCTTTTTTCCCCAACAATTCCACTCGAAAGGAAGAAGGATGGGTACCTTCACAATGAGCGAACTCCCGTCTTGCTAAGCAGGAACGCTGTTGAGGGTGGTGGAGACGGCCGGATAGGGCTTGTTATTTGACATCTAAAGAAAGGAAGAAATCTTACATTCGCTGCAAGCAAGCTCGTATCGTCGCCCTTGGTTCCGATCAAACAAAAGAACGGCAAGAGTTGTGACTTTAGATCAGTCAAGAGTGAAGGAGGCGAAGGTGGGATTTGTCGAAGCTACGATTTAGAAAAATACGAAAAATGTTGAGCGAATCCTGAGCGTAGTGAGATGAGACAGAAGGAGCAGAGTGGAGGGGAACTTGGCGAGGATGAAGAAGAAAACGGGGCAGTTCGCAGCTAGCAAGGGCATTAACGTATTTATCATAGCTACGAACAGCGGGAAGTAGGCAAACCACAGGAGGCTTCCTCCGGACGTGAGAAGCAACTGCAGGACGTGAAATTGTCGAGAACAGAGCACGATCAGGAAACCCCAAACCACCTCTCGGTTACGTTTGGCAAAGTACAACAGGAAAAAATCCGTCCCGAGCACGCCCTAGATTAGAGTTTTACGCTATTTTGTTGTTGGTTTAGAGGAATTAGAAAATGTTATATCAAAAGCTAAATTTACAAGGGAGTTAGGGAGATTATTTTCCCTCAAAAAGTTCAATCTTTTCCACACACTGGAAACATGCCAGGCCACCATTGACAGGAATTGGGAAAGCTTCTCAAGATAAATGCCAACATTTTCGGAGTTCTTAACATCCATTTATGCTGATATAATGAATTAGAATTCAATCCCAAAATAAAAGATCTAAATGGAAGCAACCTGAACCAGGGTTGAAAACTTCAACCAAATCTTGAATCTCAACACAAATGCAATTAGACTTGGCTTGATAATAGAAACAATTAAGTCAATTCAGGCCAAAATGGTGCGGAACAAGCACAAAATATATACCGTGACTAGATTTTACACGTCAACCCTGTACAAACAACAAAAATTCACTATTTTACCCAAATTTCTACTGGTAGGATGAAAGTAGCCTTATAATATGAGTGGCATTCGACCTGATTTGAAGATTCGTATGTGTTGTGCAGCAGGAAACCTTAAACAGGTTACCATGACAAAAATGTTTGGTGTGATCTGGAGCTCAACTCCCGAAAATCATTTGTAATGAATTCAAGTTGATTTTTTCGAAATAAGTATGACCTTAACCTTAGTCTCCCTCAAGATGTGCATTGTTATTTTATTTCAGATATTCTACGCTTCATTAGACTAGCATATAGTTGAGCAATCTCCCCTTCGTTGTTGCAAGAGTCCAAATGAAAGCTCCACTTTTTCATGACAATGAAACTAACAAAACCTTCTCGAAGAACAATAAGATCTATGTAGGCACTTGAAGATCTCCTCCCTCCCCTTTTCAATTGGCACCCCTCTTCTTACAAAATGCTTAGAGGTGTTAGGTAGCAAGCTTATAAAAGTTACGCAAGTGGTTATAAATAACCTAACTATAGAGGTTAGGTAAAGCGTCGTCGGTTATAAACTCACAAGGTCAGGTTTACTATGCTAGGCAAGACTTATAGGGGTTAAGTAAAGTAAGTTATCTCAATAATCTCTCACTTAAGATAGAACTTTTTATGTACTTGCTCAGTAGCCGGCGTATTAACATTTGTCTGTGCGGCAACTTCATATCATCATCCACATTGATATCGAGCCAAGCAATCAGCCTGTCATCAATCAACATATAAAAGTAAGATGATGAATTCTTTTCTGGTATCTTTTATATAGCAGTAATTATCGTCATCGCATCTGTAAAAATCAATCATGTGTATACAACAATCAAAATAAGATGACGAAGCAAACAAGATCACTAAAGAGAATTGCCTGAGTGCTTCAAGGCCACTTAACACCTTCCAGCAATCCAATCCAAGGACCCTCGAGGAGCTTGTTGACCTCGCTTTCATTGTGCTCGAGCTCAACATTGCTCACACACCTTGGTTGACTTTGAGTCTCCCCATTCTACTGTCATAGTGCCTGCACAATCGACGATTCAAACTCGGGCTTCTCGATTTAGCTCACTTTCTAGTCTTCCACATCATTTTGTTTCACTTGATCATTCGTGTCTAGCCACGGTCTTGATGATGGCATCTCGCGACGATTAAGATCGTCGCTTGATCATGTGTGTCTTATCTCGATCACGATCATATGCATCTTGTCTTAATCGCGATCGTCACTCGGCCATTTGTGTCTCGCTACAATCATGGTCGTCAACCATGTGTCTCATCATGATTTGCAAATTCCCTTATAGTTATAATTTTGATGCAATCCATTCGAACGAATATTGTTGATTCAATCAAGTGTCTCACAATTCGATTTTTTTAGGTGACAATTGATTTGGGACTTTTGATGAAATTATTATTATTATTATTATTATTATTATTATTAAATTTAACAAAATTGATAAGACGGATCAGCCTTTAATCTATTTGAATTTCTAAATTGCCACACAAAACCATCCAAGTATTAAATAGTTGTTCCAGCTCTTTCCGGCTGAAACTAAAAAAAATCTCCACTTCTCTGGCATTGTCTCCTAACACCCACTGTACTCTCATATCACCTACAAACACATCATGACTAGGGGTGTAAGTGAGCCGAGCCGGCTCGAGCTTGACTCGTTTATGAGCTCGTGAGCTGAGCTTATCAAGCCACAAGCTCGAAGACTCGGCTCGAAATTATTAAATTTAAATATTTTTAAAAAATTCTGGCGTATTTCAAAAATTCTGGCGTGTATTTGAAATTCCCGCCCGCCCCACGCGCATTTCGAAAATCTTGACGTTATTCTCAAATCTCTAACATCTGTTAGATGAATAATAAAGGCTAACACTCAATGTTGCTCTCTCTCTCGCTGGCAGGCTACAATCTACAGATAATAAAAGCTAACACTCAATAGTCAATACCCTCGCCCTCTCTCTCTCAAAAAATTCCTCCCACTGCAGTCGTAAAATACCAAGAAAAAAATTTTGAGGACCACCTGTTGGAACTTGGAATGTCGTGAATCGGACTACGCCAAAGGCTCAACAAGCGGCTTGAACTTGTTTACGTTGGAACGAGTTGAGCTCGAGCTCGATTTTTAAGCTTGACTCGAGTTTGAGCTCAAGCTCTAGCTCGGCATTTGACAGTTGAGCTCGACTTGAACACTCCCTGACTCGAGCTCGACTCGACTCGTTTAATTTGCAACCCTAATCACGACCGGTAGCCCTTAGGCTTCTTCCACGTTTCCGATTACAACAAGCCAAATCTTTTTCAGCCAAGGTTTTCCTACACTCACGAAAAATCCATTAAAACTATAGAGTTCAAAATCTGCCAAAGCCCAATTCTCCTGACTCACTCAACTCAAGAAAGTCCTTGGCTCCTTGCCTCCTTTCCAGGTCAAGTGACACTTCTTCCATTGTGAAAAATTAAGAACGAGTCTGCGGAGCTTCATTTCTCTTCACCATACTACAGGTTGTCCCATTTCCTACAATTTTCTGCATTTAAGGTATGAATTCTGACTCAAATTTAGTTCACATGAGTCTATGTTTGCTGCCAACAATCCAAAACCGATTATCTTGGAACACTTTCATTGGTAATATCTCACATGTATGGATCTTATATAGTTTCAATGATCACATATGGATAAAATAAGTGTTTGCCAATGTTTAGAAAAGTTGTAAAAAAAAAACTTCTTTCATTATATTAAATAAATCAGATGTTTCTTAAACAAATTATGAAATTAGACTTTTTTTAATTATATATTAAAAAAATTAAGATAAAATTTTATTTGAACACAAAATTAAACTTTGTGTAAACACAATCAGATTTATACTAGGAATATGGCTCTTCATCACAATGGAATTTTAATATACTGCTAATTAGATAATTGATGCAGTAAGTGCAAACTTAACCTTTGAGATAGAATTTGCAAACAGTTGCATTGTTAACATTAAATACATTTATTTGTTTGTGTTGAGTCAAACCTTCAATTAATCATAATTAGCATTTGTTCACATATTACATGGCATTTTTTTACGTGTACCTTTTTTTTTCTACGTGTACTTTCAAATTTGTATGTGATATAAATAAAACTATCATATTATGTTGTTTCCTACTCATATTTATCTTGTAAAAACCCTATGACAGCGAACAGTAGAAACATAAGAATTAGGCACCACTAGGGGCATACATGAGCCGAGCCGGCTCGAGCTCCACTCTTTAACGAGCTCACGAGTCAAGCTTATGGAGCTTTGAGTTCGAGCTCGAGTGTATACTCAAGCTTGTATATTAAACGAGCTCGAGCTCAACCTGGCTCGGCTTGAAAGCTTGTTGAGACACTTGATTAACTTAAAATATATTTAAAAATTAATTTAAATTAGCATTACATAATATATTTTAACATTTTAAATTTATTCTATATTAAAAATAGAAAATCTTCAAATTTTTGAAAATTTTAATTTAAAGCTAAAAAAATCGAGCTTAACAATAAAGTTAAACTCGAGTTTTCCAAATGAACTCTAACAATCTAGCCGAGTTCAAGCCTATAAATTTGTTTAACGAGTCGAGCTTGAGCTCATAAAGAACTAAAAAAGCTTAGCTCGATCAGGTAGATAATTAACTCGACTCGACTCGTTTACACCCTTAGGGGCCACACTCTTTGATGTATGATCTCAATTGCTTGACACTAGGTTAGTTACCTAATATCAGTTTGGTGAAACCCCCACACTACTACTTGGGTTAGTGTTTGTAAAGGCGAGTAGCATTCTAGGTTATCACACTCACTCGTAGGCTAAGATAATTTAAAATATAAGACCCGTCTCGTCTATAAGTTTGACGGACACTCTACACTAGTCAGCCTCTAACCTTTTTCTAAAGCCTAACATGTCATGCCTTTCATCTTCATGGACAACCTAGACATATGTTCACTGCACATACACGTAGGCACTCTCTTCATCTAGTCAGTACAGAATGTGTCCATCTCCTTTTCCACAAGAAAGATGTACCTTGCACTATCACGCTTGACTAGATGAATCGACTGACATTCCAGACCCAAACAGGAAGTCCAAGCTACTATATGCTCTACTATATTGAGAAGATACTTTGGGTCATCTTGGTCACATGAAACCAAGATGTAAGTCCCACTTTTGACATCTTCTCTACCACATTAAAAAGATGTCATGCTTGCTCGATCTCATACTATCAAGTTGTAAGTCTCACCATTTCCCATCACTTCCTCCCTTTTGGTGCCTCCTCTACCACATTGAGGCCACACTTATGGTTTCTATCACTCCTTTGGTGTCTTCTCTACCGCACTGAGAAAACATCAAGGGTTTCTTGGTTGCCACCCGACCAAGTTGTAAGTCCCATTTTGACATCTCATTTATAACATTAAGAATATGTACGGGCTGGTTAAGTCACACAAATTGAGTCATAAGTCTCACTCCTTGAATGTCTCATCTACCACATTGAGGAGATATTCAAGGTTCCACTCCTTGGACATCTTCTCTATCACATTGAGAAGATGTTGGCATCTATCTCATCTCCTCTATCACATTGAGGAGGTGTTCAGATTTTTTGGGTATTCTCAATCGCTCATATTTGAGTTGTAAACCCCATCTTGGATGTTGTCTCCACCATATGCAGATAATACCTTCTTTTCAGAACGTCAGTCATAGAGCCTAAGTAGCCTTGTAAATCTTGGCATATATCACCATGCAATACTATAACTTCAATATGGGTTACTCCCTCATACAACACTGGAGTATAATTCTCATCTATCAACCTAAGAATAGGTCTACACCCTTGGTCTGTGAGGTCTCATTGGATGAGATAACTCATGGTTGCTAGCATAGATCCTTTGGTCATCACTTGACTAAATAGACTAAGGGCACCAAAGAACCCGAAATGATGGAACCATGTGATCTTGACCGGGGTGTCATACCCACTTGGTAGGTTAATCTTTATTTCGTGATCACTCACTCGTTTTGACTTTCACCTCATCAAATATCAACCACTCATATATCAAATTTGAACACAAGCATTAATTCCTTAATCGAGAGTGTTCTCGAGCACACTGAGGATGTAATTAACATTAGGAATTTGCTCTTTTGAGTAAACTCAATCCCCAGAATTAAAATAAACCCTGCTTAGAGCAACATTCCTTGAAGGGGAAATCTCTGGGACATAAACTTAATCTGCCTTTCATTGATCCCCGCGAGCCTATAGAATACATTAATCAACTTATGGTTAGTAGTCTATTGCAGTGTTGGAGGCATCATTTGAAGCCCGAAGATCTTTGGTGACTCCACTAGGGACAATTTTTCTCTCCATCTTTGAAGTTAATTCTTGCGTTTTTTTGCTTGCATTGCAGCTACTACATCAATAACGAGATGAGTCGTGAGCTATACATCAAGGCTCTATGGGATACTTTGCATCATTCACCGTTGACAAGTATGATTTCAAATAGAAGTCATTGATTACTATAATGGAGAAGCAACTACAATTATCATTACCAAAAAATCAACTCATCCTCAACAAGCAAGCCTTAACACCTATCTACTCAAATAAAGTTGAAGCACAAGACTCGCTAACTAATTCCATAACATAAATCACTCACCTAGATATACCTTAATAATAGCAGAGTTTTAAAAATCGAACCGAATTGACCGGTTCAACTGTGAACTGGTCTAAAGGCAGATCCATTTTAGCTTGAAAATTGATTTTGTATCAAACTGAGATGAACCGGCTATAACAGCTGGCTCAATCGGCGAACCGATGAATCCGTCTCGATTCTCTTGATTCGACTTGTTCAATTTCTAAAATATTTAGATAATTAAATAAAATAAATTAATATATTAAGAATAAAATATTAAATAATATTTGTAATTTAATAAATTAACTTAAATTTGAAATGCTTAATTTTTAAATAAAATTTTTTCAACTAAAAATTTCACATAGCTCCATCACTCCATGTAAGTTATTACCCTATCTAAACTCAAAAGTCAATATAAAGTGTAAACAATGCCAAGGGAAAGTTCTTTAAGTGATGTGGTACTAAATAAATTGAAGTTTTTACTTCTTAAGTTTATAATATACACTATATATTTTTAAAATAATTTTTTTTTGAAATAAATAACATTTTTTTTTACTTAATAATGTTAAATAAATTCTATATTTCATTTATTATTTATGTACAAAATTATATAAGATATTATTATTGTGTGAATTAAATTTTTTTTTTAATCAAAATTTTATATTATTACAATATTATTTCAATCATTTAAATTTTATTTATATAATTTTCATACTTATTACATCATCTAGTTCGACCCCAGTCGAACCATTAAACCCTAAATCTCTCATTTTTTTATTTTATGCCTGGTCAGATTTTCACAACCTTGAGTAATAGTATTATCCTATTATATGTGTGAGGTCCTATAGCAACGCCTCTCTTGAGTACCAAGATAGGCATCTAGCTTGTCTAAACAATATTGAAAGACATATATTTCCATACCAAAAATACACCTTTATCATTTTAGCTTTTTCTTCAAGATATTTCTCAAAATATTTTATACACTGACAAACTAAGATTTCCAATTTGCCTAACCTCTCAAGATTGTTTAATGATGTATAATTAGAAGTAACATACTTACCCATAAATATTTTTATATGTTTATCATAATTTAAAATTTTGAATGTCAGTTACTCTTTTCATAATATTAAATACCACATTATTTTTTTCATTAAATGGATTCTTGATATATATTTAAAATCACTTGAAATTGAATAGGCTAATTTGCTTTATTAATTTTTTTGTATCCGCTATTGTCCAATATCATGTAAAAGAAATGATACAATGTCTTAAATAGAAACCAACAGAAGTTTCAAAACCATACATGGAGGACACGTGACAAACACACGACATGTGTCATCCATCCAACAAACTTTGTGGACTTATTTTAGGGATCTAAATGAAAAGTAAAGCATTTTCCATATATAAATTCTTATGATGATCTCAAGCTTCTCTTCACCATACATAGCATTAATCAAGTTTCATCTGAACACACTTGTATCTGTGGCAAACACATTTGCAGATATACATACTCAGGTGCCGATTTAATTGCTTCACTGAATATTTTAATATACATGTGAATCTACAAAGTCACATATTAGCATTGTCCTAAGTTTTTCAAATACTATAAATATCATCTAAAATAAATTCATGAAACATATACTTTGTTTGGGTGTCCAGCACATTGTTTCATGCTACCAAAATTTAGTTGCCCAATACCAAACCAACAGAAAAGTACATAAATCGCACATAATGGAAGCTTTTGTTCTGACCATAACTTCTTGATGTATTTAAATTTCTGGAACTTAATGGATCATTTCAAATGGTTAATTTAATCTACAAATTCTAGCGTAGGAAAGAATGGCCCCATCTTTTCTTCTTTTTCCTTCTTCAGGTGGACAAGATACACATTAACATTTTTTGTTATAACAAAAAATTAGTTATTATATTTCCTATAAAATACTTGATTAAAACAACATTTTAGAAGGAAATACTCACATGAAGACGGTGAAGTCGAAATCGATGAAGCCCCATCCTGAGGTTTGATATGGCTTACACTTTCACTTGGAGGCTTTGCACGAGAAAAAATGATATGTGGCAGATCTGATTTTGGGTGCAAATGTGGTGAAGGTGAAGGTGCAGCTTCATTTGGTGGAGGAGCAGGTATTAGATGTGTGGCTGCAGGTGCTGCAACAGGAACAATCTCGCGTTTTTTTTGGTGGTTTCTAGAAAATCCAAAATCACAGCCAGATGGAGGTGGAGCAAGATGAGTAAATAAGGGTTTTGGGGAAGGTGCAGGTACAGAATGCACATCAGAATGGTGCCAATGGTCGTGAATATTGGAATGATGATGACGATGAGCACCCATGTTAGGATGATGGTGATGAGCATCTACGCTAGGTTGAGGAGCTGGACTAGGTGACAAGGAAGAACCAGCCCCACCATTTAAAGAACGTTGAAGGAATGAGGAAAGACGAATCTGCTTCACTCTACCAAACACACTGTGATTTAGGCCAAGATTTCCTGCGGAGGAATTTCTGATAGTTTGAGCCAATTGCTTCAACCTTGGCACTGATGGCTGATTATTCCCAACCGCAAGCACAATGGATGTCTCAACAACTGTAGGCGGAGCCACAGTAGAACCCTTTGTATTTGTCAATTTGACAAACAAAATCTGCAAGTATAACAAAGTGGTCAAAAATTTACCTTGCAAATAGGAGTAAAAAAACATAGATAGGCATGGATCATGAATAGACACAACAAAGTGGTCAAAATTAATCTTGAATATAGGGGTAAAATTCTGGCCGCTGAATTTTAAATCTTAGTTGAGAGATGTAAGAATTTTTAGTATCTAGTAACAAGAACAGATCTGTTTTAGTTATTCCATATAAACCTCGTAACATGAAGTAGTTTTACTAATGGAGAACAATTACCTTACATAAGTACTGTAGAAACAAAAATAAGTATCCTAGAGTTTTGCACAGCAAAGTTCAAGCTCAAAAAGGTGAATTTCTGTTGCTAAAGGCAACTACACTAACTTTGTCGCCAATATTGAATTCTAGAAGCTAGGCTAGCTTATCAAACATTATTGAATTGATACAGGAAAGCGTACTGAGTGTAAATAAGCGGCAAGTAAATCAATTAAGCAAACCTCATAAGATTTTAGATGTAAACCAAACTTCATCTGGACCTTCAGTTCATCAACTTTGTCTTGCACTTGGTATATTGGAAAATTCAATGTAAAATTGAAAAGCATATGCTCTTTCTGCAGAAGGAAAGCAACTTGTGGTGGTACTATAGTAATCCCTCCAGGAAATTCTAAAATCTGGAAAAAGTATGAGCTTCCAAACAAAGGTGTCGTCAAGTGTAGGGTAGACTGCTGTAGAACCAACGACACAAAAGAAGACTTGAGAATGCTCAGCCCGGTTGATATATTCAAATTCTTTGGATAAGGCCACACCCCAAACACAACATCGGTTGTGTTTATTCTGAAAGGATCCAGGTAAATAACAGCTACCTAAAATATGAACAAGGTTAAACCAAACGAAAAAGTCCATAAACTTCAGGGATAAGGTCATAGAGATGTACAGTAGTATTTGGAACACCGATTTCATTAAAGATGTCAAATTGAAGCTTGGCAATATTTGCATTCAATAAAGAGATGGGCTTTTGTAGTCTGAAACTAGCCACCACATCAGCTGCAAGAAATCAGTCAAGTCATTAAAAAAATAGCAAACAAACTAAAAGAATTTTTACCAAAACATGGAGGGTTTCTTCATACTAGATTCCTTAAATTTTCAAAACCAAAATCTTAATTAATTATGGAAATATGCTAGACAAAGTTATATCTAAAGATTTATAGATTCAATAGAATTATATTAGGCCAGCTATGCTGAATTTAGAAAATATATCAACAGCACAGAAGAAAAAGGTGAATGGTTACACCAACAAAAGGCTTCCATAAGCTTAACTTCTTATTATATGTTGGTTTGCAATAATTAAAATATGTAACTTTGGTCCCTTTGTGGGCTCCGAAAATTCCATTTAGTGTGTGATCCCGACCTCTCCGCGCCATCAATCTATTTTTCTTTTATTTTTAAGTGTGACGATGACGATAGAGAGTTTTAACGAGATTAAGTTCCGGGTGAATTTTCAAAAGACATATTGGGTTTTAGATAAGACACTACCAATAGATTTCGCGCTCATTTTGTGAGGACTTTTTTTATCTGAGTTCTGATTTCTTATAGGTGCAAGCCCCTATAGTTAATTACCCCTCCCGATAATGAGAGAGAACTTTCGATTAAGGCTAGTCGTTAAAGAGATTGAATAGGTTATAAACCCATTGTATAATAGCAATAATTTAGGATTTGAGTCTTGGATTTAAATTTCGAAGTTTGGAATTTGAAGTTTATCACCATAAACTTAGTGCTGGTGGAATCGGGAATGAAGACGAGCCCAATCAAGATCCCATGGTTCCGTCGTCCCGGGCTGTCATGTTCCCTGGTCTACTTAGTCAGAGGAGGTAGTCGACTCAACCTGACAGAAGACACCTTGTCGGCAGCCATGGGTTGCTTCGTCCAAGAATACCTTGTAGACCTGGGTTGATATTTATCTAAGGGGATATATCTGAATCCACCTAAACTGACAGAGGATTTTATGCCTATTGAATATACCCTATGATTCATAACTCAAGGGAATCATAGGGTTTGATCGTAATATAATGGTGTCATTTTGCGACAAAACCACCCGATTAGAGGGCACGTGCCACGTCCCTGCTTGCAAGAGACTATTAACACGTTGACCGGAGCACATGCAGGGTTGTAACATTTGACCCTGCGCAGCATTCTCGGACATTAATGGTTATACTTTTAACACGTTGACCGGAGCACATGCAGGGATTTATTTAGTTCAATGGATCATATTTAATACATAAGGGGCATTTTAAAATATTTAAATATGATCCATTTTTTGCTAGTGATTTCATTAGAAAATGACCCGGGATTTTATTTAAGGGTCTACGAACGCCTTCTGTCTGCTTGCACACATGTTGTGGATCCAGTGGTGTTACTCTAAATTAGGTTTCAATTGTAACACATAGAAGATATCCCTTTGTCATTATTATCCCACTCAACATAGCTTTCAGGGAATGCTTGTTCAATAGGAATTAAGAGATCGTGCTAATATTCGTAGGAGAATTATCTTGCTTGCTATAAGTTCTCCTATTCTTTCCCATAAATAGACTAATTTATTTGATACAAGCTCTTTGTCCTTGCTTGAAAACTAGTTGTTGTGGGCACTACGAATTCCCTATTCCTTCTCATATGTGAATTGTAGTATGCTTGAGTATCATGTTTGCATTTAAAACTTGTTTGATGGTGTGTAAGCTTTGCTTTTGTGATTATTGTCAATGCTACTATCTACCACCAAGACTATATTTTTATATAAATACAAGATATTTTTTCTTTTTATCATTGCAACCAAAGTTACTTATATCAGATAATCTTGTAATTATGCTCTGTCAACTTGATTCAACATCAACCTTTTCACTTCTTTCATCTTGTGCAAACCTACTCATCAGTATCAAATACAACATTTCTTCGGCATTTATCCTTCTAAGATAGCATTGAAAAGTTTTGAGGTATGAAGTGGAACAATTGTACTAGCATTCAAACATTCATCTTTATATGCAGTATCATATTTCAGGATTTCACATCAAGTAACACTTAAGAGATGTTTTCATTTCCATAATTCATAATTTCAAAGATATTCTAATCAAGTTGTTTGGTAGTTACTCTTTGTACATGATTTGCTCCTGTAATTAGTACCATTCAAGCTTTATAGTGACTCTTGTAATTTTGTTATCTCGTTGAGTGTGAGATCCTAATGAAAGCTCAATTTGAATGTATCACATATCAAGTCAATTTTAGAAATCGAGATCATATTTGAGTCTAGATCATTTTCCTTATTTTTAAATTGATTAAAAAAATTCATAAAATTCCATTTTTTAATCAATTATATGAGGGTCATTTAAGCATTTTTCAACCTTCACAAAAATTTGGCCAAGTCCAGCGTTTTTTCGAGTAAATTTTGGCAGCCTCCTGGCATCCCCTCCTTGATGTCGGGAGGTAAATGAGTGCTCGACTAGGCCGGATCAAATCGACAGCGAGGAAATTTGGGAGAGCGAATCGATCCCATAAAAGAGTCTTCAAGTCTTCTAATGTGAACAACTTGCTAATTTAAGCAATTTAATTTAATTTTAAAAATATTTTTGGTCCCCTCAAAAATCTGGCAACCTTCTGACGCCCCCTCCCCGCTAGGGGAGGTTGACGAGGGCACTTGCCCTTGGCTCAACTCGGACGGAGCGAATCAACAGCGAGGAAATTGGAAGAATAGTGTCTGCGCTCCCTCGATCGAATAATCTCGACGACCGAGGGTTTCAGGGGACCGGATCAACCCCGGGACTTCCTTCAAGTCTTCATACCTGTTAAAATCCTCTCATTTCTCTCCGTCTCTCTTTTTTTCTTTTCTTTTTAAATCATATTATATATATATATATATAATAATATAATATAGTATTATATTATAATGTTATATTAATATAATATGATATAACATTATATTATTATATTGTTATATTACACTATTGTATTAATATATTAAGTGAATGATTATACCCAACTTCTCATGTTTTCTGAAAAATAAACAGGCCTGATTGTAGTTATCGGTAAAGTTAAGCATTTCTTTTCCGACGTGTAAAACTAAATTTACAACAAACACAGAATTGTAAAACTCCCAACCTTCATTAAAATTTAAAGTTTAAACTCGCTGGAAACATAAAATGTGTTCATGGATATGAACTATTTGATGATTTAAGCAGTGTTATGAGATCGGTTGTTTTTATTTCACAGTTTTAATTTTATATTAGTTTATCTTGGTATAAACATGCTTATGATGGCGAACCTGTTGGGATCACAAAAACCCTACCATATAAAGTATAATTCTCAGGCAAAGCACAAATCAAAGATCAGTTCAAAAAGATTAAATTGGGACCCAATTCTCTTGGGAAAATTAATATGTTGATCAAATATGCTCGAAACACCATGAAAACATTGCTATAGGTATCAGCCCGTGGAGATGAATCCAAGAACACCAAACTTGTCAAGTTCAAACACCAGAAAGCCCCCCCAGCAACACAACCCTGTCAGGCTCATCTTTACTTCTCTCTCACAAAAATATGAAATTCGTACTGCTCAACGAGGTTATAGTGGGCGATGCAGCCACCGAGCCATACATTCCCCTTCCCTCTGATAATCACTCATCTACGTGGAAGTTGAGATAAGTGGTTCAACATAAACTCTTCTACTTTAAGCCATCACCCTCATCAAAGCCAAAACCTAGTGAATGATTATACCCAACTTCTCATGTTTTCTGAAAAATAAACAGGCCTGATTGTAGTTATCGGTAAAGTTAAGCATTTCTTTTCCGACGTGTAAAACTAAATTTACAACAAACACAGAATTGTAAAACTCCCAACCTTCATTAAAATTTAAAGTTTAAACTCGCTGGAAACATAAAATGTGTTCATGGATATGAACTATTTGATGATTTAAGCAGTGTTTCGAGATCGGTTGTTTTTATTTCACAGTTTTAATTTTATATTAGTTTATCTTGGTATAAACATGCTTATGATGGCGAACCTGTTGGGATCACAAAAACCCTACCATATAAAGTATAATTCTCAGGCAAAGCACAAATCAAAGATCAGTTCAAAAAGATTAAATTGGGACCCAATTCTCTTGGGAAAATTAATATGTTGATCAAATATGCTCGAAACACCATGAAAACATTGCTATAGGTATCAGCCCGTGGAGATGAATCCAAGAACACCAAACTTGTCAAGTTCAAACACCAGAAAGCCCCCCCAGCAACACAACCCTGTCAGGCTCATCTTTACTTCTCTCTCACAAAAATATGAAATTCGTACTGCTCAACGAGGTTATAGTGGGCGATGCAGCCACCGAGCCATACATTCCCCTTCCCTCTGATAATCACTCATCTACGTGGAAGTTGAGATAAGTGGTTCAACATAAACTCTTCTACTTTAAGCCATCACCCTCATCAAAGCCAAAACCTAGTGAATGATTATACCCAACTTCTCATGTTTTCTGAAAAATAAACAGGCCTGATTGTAGTTATCGGTAAAGTTAAGCATTTCTTTTCCGACGTGTAAAACTAAATTTACAACAAACACAGATTTGTAAAACTCCCAACCTTCATTAAAATTTAAAGTTTAAACTCGCTGGAAACATAAAATGTGTTCATGGATATGAACTATTTGATGATTTAAGCAGTGTTTCGAGATCGGTTGTTTTTATTTCACAGTTTTAATTTTATATTAGTTTATCTTGGTATAAACATGCTTATGATGGCGAACCTGTTGGGATCACAAAAACCCTACCAGATAAAGTATAATTCTCAGGCAAAGCACAAATCAAAGATCAGTTCAAAAAGATTAAATTGGGACCCAATTCTCTTGGGAAAATTAATATGTTGATCAAATATGCTCGAAACACCATGAAAACATTGCTATAGGTATCAGCCCGTGGAGATGAATCCAAGAACACCAAACTTGTCAAGTTCAAACACCAGAAAGCCCCCCAAAGTGGTAGAAAAGGGAGCTGATACAAAGGACAAAACA